ACTATATTATGCAGTTTTCTTATCAGTAATCAGCTCTGACAGGATCTTGGGCATTTTAAGACGAACATGGGTTAGTCATGTTAATACAAATTAGGAACCCCATTTCATCTACAGTCTACAGTCAGGGAGAACTCAGTATCTCTGAAGAACACAGAAAAACACGGAACTGGGGTCTATGTGACAACTATCGGACTACCTACGGTGATCATGGATGTTGTTGCGTCAGTGAGGGTTACTATACCGATCCGGGGCCAACTGCGCGGATCAGAAGGCCTCCCGTATCAGGGAGGGGAACAATGTGAATATGATATATCCTTATCATCGCCTCCGGATCGACCAGGAAATCCCGCCCCGTGCCACCAGAATGATAGCCAGAGGACACTTCGCGTTGGGACGGAATGACCCTACAGCCCTTGACCGGAAACGGTGATGTGCACCTGGCGTTCTACTCGAGAGACTGCTTGCCCGGAAGGAAATACGGGGTCTCATTATTGTTGGGTAAAGGGGTGTCTCATTATTGTTGAATAAGGTGGGTCAAAATGAGCTTAAAAAACGAGCAAGGTCATGCCATGTTTGCCCGAGAACACTCATTTTTCCAGAATGTATTATTGAAACAAATAACATCAAATGGTTTGAACATGCCCGCCCGCAATCTCGAGAGCAAGGACAAGAATGGTCTGGGTTGCAACTTCCGTAAAACCGAAAAGTTTCGGCCACTGCCAGTGCCACCAGACGGCGAGCGCCAAGTTAATCTGTCTTCTGGACAGATAAACAGCTGCAAAAACGAAAATAGAGATTTTACCTTCGTTCTTCCAGTTCAACCACCAGATTCCAGCCCCACTTCGAGATGCTTTAAGGGCCAATCCGTTCTTTCCATCAGTCTAAAAATTGCACACGTGAAATATGCGCTCAGACTGCCTTCTAAATACAAAATCTGATGTCATGATGCGTTAGAAGATGCTTTTCAGAAACGTCGTCATTTTCGTCCACTCTTAGCCACAACTTAATATTAGCTGGTAGACCCACGCTGCGCGGCTACGGAAACTGCAACGCCTGTGGTTGAGGCTTGTGTTTCCAAGTTTCGAATGCGCATGCTCAAAAATAGGCCACATAACTTGTATTGCTAGTCGATTAGAGTGTTCAAAGGTAAGCATTTCAGAAGCGTCATCATTTTCGTCAACCGGTGGGCCACGGCTAATTATTAGCTACTGGCCTAAAGCTCCGCGGACATTGGAGACCGCAACGCCTGGTGTCGAGGTTTTGTTGCAAAGATTTGCGAGCGCGCATGTTAAAAAAACACGTTACATAAATTGTATCACTAATCGATTCTGACTGAATGGTGAACATTTTCAGACAAGCATGGCTTGGCCATGTTAATGGACATTGGTGACCACTCGATCTGCAATCAAATTTTCATCTTCAAATTTGGTTCAAACATATCGATCTACAATCTGCCTTCGCGATGTCCTCAATGTCTGTAGTACCCAGATACAACATTTTGACAAAACATGTGAATTCTATCGGTTTAGAAAGAGTCAATTAACCATTGTAAATTAAGAGCGCCTGTGGTTTCTTCCATGCAGTTTTTCTACGCCTGATTTCTGCAGGTTATTGACCTCAAAATACCGAGTTGAGCCCACGGCAGCTCCTCATTTCTGTTATAGTTACAAGGTAAACATAACAATAAAACGAAGAAAGCCGTGCTACTTGTTAACAAGTAGGCTATATCCGGGGAGATTGATCGGGGGGGGGGGGATCACCATAAGATGGGCTTTTGTCAACCTTGTGTTCCCCTCGGCAAGGCTCTGTGTACGCCCCTGCCTGCACACAAAAGCAAATCAAGTCGTATAGTCGTAGGCAATGAAGTGTCCGTTGCGCCAACTCGTATCTAAGGCATACAGCTTCCCGGAGGCTATTTTTCTGCGATGGTGCGGTGTGAGGAAAGATAATTCTGAAAAAGGCACTGTTGCAGGTGTCCAACACATGTTTCATACACCACGTAGTGGTAACGCTGATCCAGAAGTACGCAACAAAGCAGCCATACGATCAGTTCGCAGCCAGTCATGTGGGAGACACCCGGATCAGGGCAGTTCCACACACGGCAGACAGGAGCAGTTCCCAGATAATTAACATATGACAGATGGGCGCTATTATGTGGCTTGATTCTCAAAAGGGAATCTCCAGTTTTGTGGCTTTTGTCACATTGTTTCTGGCAGTTTCAAGCCACCGAATTTGTTTCCGCCTAAAATGCTGCGACGAGCCTTAACTCTTGAAAGGCAGCCAGCGAAATGAAGGCGCATGAAAAATCTGTCGCACTGTGAGCCATCAATCCACTTCCAAAATTATCGCCAGCCTACATCCAAAAAGTGGGGGCCATACTGTATTTTGGAATCTACGCTGTGGAGGCAGATGATTTCTCAATGACCCAAAATGCCTACCCGCTCATAGAATTTCGCATCCCCAGGAAAGACAATGTTAAAATGAAAGAAAAATCTAAGGAAGCTGGATGGCCTTATTTGCCAAACGACAGAAGGATCGAATAGGCAGGATTGTGCACGAGTGAGAAACAGCTCTAAAGGTATATCTAGCACAACAGCCATGATGTTTGAAAAAAGAGCGATAACAACCTCCATCCCTATCCCCCCTCCCCTCCCGGTCATCGGGCTCCTTTTCCAGAAAAAGTTCCTCAAGTACATCCTGAGCTTGGCCCCCACTTTTTGAAACGTTCCTATGGCTATGAGATCGCACATACTGCGATCTTCCGTATCCATTTGTCTATTTGTCTTACAGCCTCTTAACAGATGCATGCCAAATCTCACCCCCAGCGCACGTGAGTCTCCTAGTCCGTGCGTCATTGCGGGGTAAGAATGACGGTAAATGGGCGTGCACGGCGTGGACACGTAGCAGAGAGGGGAGTCAATCAGCTCCCAAAAGTTCGGAAGAGGTACAGGTCATCGCAAAATTAGCAGTGCGTGCTATGGTCAGTAACAAGCGTGAGCATATTTGCTGAATCATCAGGGGTAAAAAGTACAATTGTACAAAACCATGCACATCGGATTTTGTCAACTTTCTACGAGGTGGCGAATGTCTTCGCTTCCTTCATCTTGGATAATTCGAGAAAAAAACTTGGCGCCGTCATTTGTGCCGCCTCACCCGTGTGTGTCTCTTGTTACCGGCCTCCAGCCTGAGTCAGTAGCCGCTCGGACATCAACATGAGTGGTGAAAAGCTAACATAGTACTCTGTCGGGAATTGGCCATTCGCTAAGACCAGGGTTGTAAGTCACCGGGGCGTTTGTAAGTCACAGCGTTTGCTTCGGTTGTAAGACACCGGGGCCGTCTGGGCTGTCCGAAGCTGAAGGGCTGGAATGAATTGTTGAGCAGAGGTGCGAGGAGGTGGACCCTCAGACAGCCCGCAGTCAAATAGGTGTGCAGTGAAACCCAGCGCCACTACTACAGTTGTGTCTCCGCGTTTCTACAGTGCGCTGTAGCTGTCGCGTGGCCAGGTGGTTTAGCACAGTGGGTGAACACAGAGGTAGATGGGTAAATGGATGACGGGGCGTGCGGTTCTTGGCCGTGACAATCCGTGTATTTTTAATTTAGACTTAGTATAATAGTAAAATAGCATTCATATTTTAGAAACGGCAGAATATAAAATGCGCCATCAGCATTGTCACGACTGCTTCATCTAAGATCCCATGATTTCTCTACGTGATCGTGACGCTTCAGATACTAGATGACGCCGATAAGCCACCGGGCCAAGCAGCTGCAGTCCGCATATAATTTTTACAGCATAATTAAAATAAAGGTGAGGTAGGTTCAATGGCTTCCGCTCATCTTATAAAACGCCAAAAGACAAGGGTCAATTGCATTCCACCACTCATGAACACCTCGAATTTTCTGCTGACGTCGATATCTGTAGACACTTCGGTCTTCATGGCACCTTTTGCTGATGTAATTTTGACACACTGAAGCCACGATCTTTCCAAAATTTACATGGATATAGTTCCTAGGCTGTTGTTCCGGTAAATCACACATTGCAGGGAACAACGGTGCGTCACCCATCAAATTATGGCTGCAAAATTTTTGGGATAAGGATGTCAGTTACGGTCGATCGGGTGCAGAATTGATGCCCTGGAGCTGATAGCTTTCGGGCGGCCGAATCCTATAGCATATGCCCCTTGAATGCGAGTACGAACAGCGATGCACTTTGGAGTCCATATTGCTGCTTTTGCCCATATCGCCGGCCATAACGCAAGCCGTTCGGAACAGACGGCTATATTATCCACCGCACTTAACCGCGAATCAAACGCAAATTTCCAAACTGACGGGATCATCAGTAGTTTGAACCGATTTTTATTATCGCTTGTATTGTTGAGATGTGTTGTCGTTTGTTTTTTATTGTCGTGTGTATTGTATTGTCGTTTTGTCGTTTGTATCGGCTGTCCCAGAGGCTTATGGCACCCCCGCTCTCGAAGAATGCGGGATGGTAGCCGCACGCTGATAGATGGAATAGCTGAACTTGAAATTTTCAAATTTAATCTTTTTTAACTAGTTTTGACATCCGTACGTTTTTGAATGTTCTTACGCATACATCTATAAAGCTCACGTGCTTCTTGCTCTTAACTTATTAAACATGAAAATGTTTTGCTGGTGACTGCACTGATACCAGCACCTTCATAGCTGTAGCACGTTGGATAAGATGACAGCAACTGCGCTTTCCGTCGTAGAAAACTGATGTCTATGGCTGTGTTTACATCATTGCCCGCACCGGAACATAAGCGACCAACTGTTTTGGTATTTCCGAGGTTTTCGAAGACACCTAGGCCGCGCGCGTGCACGCATGTCCTTGTCTGCATCACGACGTAAATCGTCTGGGGCGTATCTCGCCTAGGATGGGACAGGGCAACCAGTCATATTCTCTGTCCCGATAATGCCGGCGCGGAGACCACTGCATTGTAAACAGCATCATCATGACCTGTGTTATCGCCTCTGCGACCCAGGCAGCCGGTCTTGCTATCACCAAGCCCTGTATTGGATAAACCTGACGTGCAAGTGTCTGATGCCGGCGTGTACTGGCTGGCTTATCTAACCTACCGCATCTACCTATCTGCAACTCGACTCATTGTGAGAGGTAAGACGCCCGGCTGCCGGTGATCTGCCCTCCTTCCACGTCCTCGTCCTGCGCCCGGGCTGCCGGTGATCTATTCCCTTTCCCCGTCCTCGTCCGGTGCCCAGGCTGCCGGTGATCTGTTCCCTTTCCCAGTCCTCGTCCGGCGCCCGGGCTGCCGGTGATCTGTTCCCTTTCCCAGTCCTCGTCCGGCGCCCGGGCTGCCGATGATCTGTTCCCTTTCCCAGTCCTCGTCCGGCGCCCGGGCTGCCGGTGATCTGCTCTCTTTTCCCCGTCCTCGTCCGGTGCCCAGGCTGCCGGTGACCTGTTCCCTTTCCCAGTCCTCGTCCGGCGCCCGGGCTACCGGTGATCTGTTCCCTTTCCCCGTCCTTCTCCGGCGCCCGGGCTGCCTACGAACCCATGAGAATAGATTTGGCACCCAAAAGTTTCGAAAAACTGTCACACAAGTTGAAATTAATCTGCATGTAGAAAACAGGGTAGTGCTCAAAAGCGCAATGTTCTTAATCAACGTCGCTTGTGACCTGACCCGAGGTCAAGACCTTGTAGGAAAGTTAAACAGCAGAGGAATTCCTGTGTGCCTTTCCAGTGCCTTCAACCCTAACAAATATCAAACATATCGTTTAAAACGAGAACAGCTGTTTAAATGAGGTGCTACGGGAGCATTTTACGACACAAGTTTTCAACATAAAATGGAGACCAAAAGGGAACTCTGTGAGCTTGGTAACCGGTTGTAACTGCATGAAAAGGGACAAAAGTGGAGTCCAAAATTTAGTTCTGTGAGCGTAATAATTGGTGTAACTGCAGGAAAAGGGACAAACTTCCCTAAACACAAATCCCTCTCTCGCCCCTCCCCCCTCGGATGACGAATCGGCTGTACCTGGCGAAAACTAGGAAAGATAAACTCCCCACTCACTCCGACTGACCTTGGCCCCCATCAGGGCACACTCCATTGCTGCCGCCCTGCGACCAGAACCAAACTCTTCCTCGGCACTCTACACTACACCTCTAAAATAGCGGTGGCAGGTAGCTACAAAACGACACAGAGAACTATCCTAGCTGCAACGGTTGATTTCCACGGATCGCCATCGACTTCAGCGACACACACATAAAATGCGGTCTCCAATCGCTGAGACACTGACGGGTCGTGTCTCATGGAGATATGCGGTTTCACACTCTCCAGCTAACTACTGCCCTGTGGTCCCATTTCGCAGCCGTACATAAGACCATCTCATTGTCACACAATCGCTAGTTAACAGGATACGAAAGTCACGTGGTTGGAACATGTGCGATTGGAACCGAAGTATGTTACAAAACCCCATCTAGCACATATTCGGCAATGCGAACAGCAACGGCTGGAAATACTGCCAAAAGGCAATTAAGGCACTTACTAAGCCGTCGGTGGGATCGATCGAGTTGAGCTTACAGGCAACACGAGAAAACTCCAGCACAAGATTCCTGGCCGCGAACCTCTGCGGCAAGAACACGAAACAGAAACGTATTGTGGGTCCGGGAGACCGGACTGGCACCGTTCGGATCGATTACAACGTTAGGGAGCTTCGCCTGCCAATGCTGTAGCCTATGGTAGTGTACCAGCAAGATATACCTGCTGTCAAACCCTTCCGCTATAAAGCCCACTTTGGCACGCGTCAACACTGACCTCCATTACCTTAGGACCTTGTACTTTCCTCTTTTTAGATAAGCGAGACAAGGTCGCCCTCCATTACCTTAGGACCTTGTTATCGCTTCAATGGCGACTACGTAGGAGTTTAAACACCCAAGATAAGAATAGATGATACAGCATAACGGTGTTGTAAATTGTTTGCCGGACAAGTTGGACTCGAAGATGAATATAATCAACTCACTAATTGTGTGTTGGTGGTGATGCCGATGCTCTCCAGTGTAAAAGTGACTCGCCATAGCGCAATAGAATTGGAGAGATGGTCCTTGGAGCTTATCACAGCAGGGTTTTGTAATGATTTTGCTTGTTTGTGTTTTCGAAATACCACTCCATCTTGAAGTACAACGAGCTATGTGCTTATGTTCTCTCACCAGAGATCTTGTCCAGGTTGTCCGGCCAACTTCTTCGGTGACCAGTGCGACAAGAGATGCCCCCACTGTCTGCATGGCGGCCAGTGCCACGATGTGACCGGCCAGTGCGTCTGCCCTCCAGGTTTCACCGGACCAAGATGCGAAACAGGTACGCTCGTCCTCGATGTCCTATGGCCCCGAGCTGAGGCGTAACACCGGGTGTCTATGCTGTCTGGCTGTGATGTTGACCCGACGGTGGCCACCCAGATGATTGCCGCACCGATTCACCGACACCTTGTCTTCTGGGGCTCCGAAGGCCGCGGGTGATCGCCAGATATCGATCACTTGAAGTAAATGTTCCACCTTTGAAGGTATTCAAGCAAGCATCTGATATGATGAAATAAGCTCGCTATAACTTTTGATATCCGAAGTGGAAAAGACTGCTCTAGACAACACGATTTCTCTATTTAGTAAACATGCTCCTCGATACGTCATCGTTTGATAGCGTCTCATACCTTGCACAACATTCATTGAAAGACAGTTGACTGCCATGACATCTGAAGATCGAGCCCACGAACGCCATATATGAACGGTTCCACAATTATATTTTGCTTGGTATTGATCGCCGCATGACCAATGGGTTACAGGATTTTTTGACGTGGTTATGGCGTCCTGAATGCTTGGGTGAACTCGAAATAGTTTGCACGAAATAGTCAGCGCATTTTTACGGGCGCATAGCTCAGAAACCAGAGGGGCTTAGGGCCTAAGAAGGGCAGGGATGTGAACCGTACTAAATGATCTTCAATGTGGCTATTTCGGCTCAAAACCCATACAAGTGTGGAGCACTTCCCTTAGCAATGATCGTGGTGTGCGCTGGTATGGCTGAAAGAGATTAAACACGCTGGAAATATTTTGAAAATGCGTCAAAATTAAGGAGTATTCTCCCGATGTTTGGTCTTTTTCTAATAAATTAGGCCTTGCACTGAGAAAAAATACTCCCCAAAACCCTTCGTGCAGGGTTGGCCAAATCACCTCCCTCTACCGTTTTGTTTTAGGGAGTGATGTAAATACTTTTTAAGGAGGATCCTGGAGTTCTTCGACACCTAAGAAATTAAAAAAACGAAATCCTAGTGCATGGTCGGCGAAAGCGCGTCCCTACGCGGTGTCTGTTCAGGGAGCGGCATCATTACCATTTTAAGGGGTATAAAGGTATCTTATGACAATATGGTGGGTGTCTGTTTGACCTGCTAATGATACCCTGAGCTTGAGACACTCCGTGAATGGGATCACGTTTGTTCGCCTTGCATTCTCCACATGTGGTCAACCGACCGCCAGAACTGTACAGCTTGCGTGTGTTTTCATCAGACATACAATGTGAACGAATCAGAGAGTATTTTGAAAATGTAAAAAATCCGAAGCATAGACGATTAGTCATAACCTGGCGCACCTATCAAGCATCCGTTAACGAAACACATGGACCAGAGGCTCCAACTACAAGCCAGGTCAGGTTCGACATTTCGCATTACCCCTTCGGAACAGATCGGCCGGCACGTGACCCCCTTGACTTCACCAAACTGTCCGGCTTGAGCAAACCGGCCACGTCGACCACAGGGTCAGACAGCCTTCATCACAACCGAAAACTTGACAAAAGTAGCATCGCAACGAAGAATGACTCGATAAGAAAAAAACACTGAAAACTCAACAAGAATGGACTAAGGCGACCCGGTCAAATGAGCATCCAAGCTGCGAGGTCAGCTGGCAATTAAACAGACTGTTGGATAGGCTGTTGGAAAAAGATAGACTATTGGACGTCACCAAGCTCGTACAGACCACAACAGTTCTTTAACACTGTAGCTGAAAACATAATTCACCTGGTTCGACCAGCACGGGCCCTCAAGAAGGCACGAGCGGCCTCAACGGGGGCCTGCGAAAGTGTCAGTACATATCCATTACCCGCACTCTCAGCGCGGGTAAACCCATCTGGTATATCAGCCGCTTCCTGCACTTAACGAGCCTTTTCATCTTGATTCAACATGATAATTTCATATGCTTAAACACGCTTAATTCGGGCCATGTTCCCTCCACCTCCAGACCAAATTGGATGGCTTCAGCAGCTTTCAGGCATTTCAGGCTGGCGTCAGTGGTCCGTGGTTCTCAGCAGAACAGTCATCTGCGCCGTAAGGCAAGCGTGGGCGACATCAATCTTAGTAGTTGCTTGCAAGTCTTTGACGAATATTCTAAAATTGGAAACTAAAAATACTTACACTAAAAGGCACCTTTCAAAAAATGCAAAGATCTCAGGGCATACATCTGATACATCTGATTACGTACATCTGATTTACATACATCTAATTTCAGGGCATACATCCCCATACATCTGAGAGCTTAGCGGATCATTTGAAAACTTAGCAAATACAGTATGCCCTAAGTTTGGCACACATAACGATCAGGTTCGAATACTAACGTTGTGTAGGTGTCCAGGCAATTGGATGATTTTTTTGCAGGCTGGCTTCAAGTGTTTATGGATTTAGTACCAATCCAAACTGAGGTGCCGACATTTAAAACCCTGGATTCCAGAACGGTCTTGCATTGTGCCACAGATGGTCTTAGAAGCACAACTTGTTGTATTTTGAACTTAACTCATATGTAAGAAAATAAAGTTACATAATCCTGAATATGAACCATAGTCAAGACATTCACCTAAGTTAACAAAACCTAGTTGGATACAAAAACCTTCTTTAAACCAGAAACAGTATCAAAAATATAAAACAGGTACACTGTGTCGGCCTGCTTCCGAAACATTGTCATCATTTACTGACAATGAAAGTGAAGGAACTTGAGTTCAACATCAAATGTTTTAAATTGCTTGTGACTCATTGGAAAATCAAACCAATAAGTTGTGCGTGAATCCAACGTGTTCATAGCAATACTGATACATCAGTAACAGCTGTTTCCTGTTTGATTAGTAAGTTAGATTAGGTGAGGCAATGTGAGGTTAGATTAATTAGAGGGAGGTAAGATGAGATAATGTTAAATAATGTCACATTTCATCACTCACAAAACCTCTTTGTTTCATTTCCCAGTGACATCACAACTGATTTGAGAGATGTACTCCGGCTCACCACAGCTGAGCGGTGTGAATTGTTGCATCTCTTCATACTATTTGTATTTAATATTGTCAATAATTTTAAAGACTTTAAAGATGATACAAGTATATTTCCCCGACTGTGTGAACTAAGGAGCTAATCTTTAGTAAAAAATTAGCTGTGATCATACACCGTTATTACCACAGTCATTTCATTATAGAGGTAATATAATGTCCCTGCTCTTTGAACTATTAGCAGTGTTTTCTGCTGCAAAGAAGGCGTTATATGCGTCACAAACTTTTGTAGCTAAATAGAAGTAGCCAAGCCAATATTTGAATATCGTTAGATGTATAAACATGTTCACACACATATATATATATATATATATATATATATATATGTATATATATATGCGTATATATATATATATATGTATATATATACATATATATATATATATATATATATATATATGTATATATATATAAACATTAAAAAATCATTTTCTACACCTCAGTGACTAAGTGAAATAAAACAATGTTTCAAACTTGTATGGGGTTCTGAACTGAAATAGACAATTTAACCATCGAATAATTTCATGTAATATATCTGTGTGTTTCATATAATATATCTGATATCATATAACGAATCGTTTTTTTCGTATAATATAATAGTTGCTTTTTCCTAACAACTATTTTCCCTTTCGGTGCATCAATGGTCGGCGTAGCGGGCTTAAGACTGGTCGGCATATCGAGTCGCTCCAAACCTAAGGCGTCGCATGTACGGAGAAAGGCACGAACACTTTTGGTCAGCGACTGTATCACAGCCCTAAATGACACGTAACAAAGCCCATGTACTATCTCACTACATACTCAGGCAATACCAGTGTTGAAGAAAGAACTGTTACGAGGTTTAATCCTTCCCTAAAAATCTTCTCCGCCGCTTTGCTATCAGCTGTGCACTCTTTTTCATGCGACAAACTGCATCGCCTGAAGATGAGAATTGCTATGGTGTTTCACATATATGGCCTACGTTTATAACCAAGTGTCAGAAATAAAACTTCATGGCCCTCCATGATGCCCAAAACTCAAATTTTGCAATCCGCTCCCCGCTAATTTGTATTCCACGATCTAGAACCGCAGAAATGTAACACTGGATAACCTATGTTATGGCCTGGACTACATGGGTGACGGGTCAATGCCCGAGTAACGAGCCATGCTCAACGAGACTGATCAATCATTTCAAATTTTGTGCGCTGCGACTATTTCGTTGCATGACGACCTTGTTTTATACTTTCCATTCGTAAATATTCGAGTTTCAAGTTGATTCGGATCAACGATTGATTTCAAAATCCCATTCACCCTCCATCACCATTTGAGCAGCTTGCATATATTATAACCGCCCATATTTCTCCCCTAACCTGTTATGAGCATATTTAAGTACAGCACATCAAATGTTCCAGCCATGGACGTAAGACCTGATGGCCATATACCATAAACTCATAACAATAGACCTAGGCGTAAAATACTCGTTGCTTTTAGCCGCACCGTACCTTCATAATGTTCCGCACCTTAACGGAACGTGCAGGCCCAGTACCTCACTGCGGCGGCGGTGAGCCGCTCACTAGATTGTCGCTATTTTGATCACTGGGGCTGTCGCATGTCCGGCACAGGGGTGGCCCGTTTCCGGCAAAGCATCGGCCCGGTTTCCGGCACAGAAGGGGCCGCGTGTCGGAGACAGGAGCGGTCTTCGGGCACAGGAAAGCTTCGCGTGTCCGGCAGAGGACTGGCCGCATGCCGGCACATGACGGGCTGCGTGTCTAGTATAGGAGCAGCCGTCCACCCCTTGGGCTGCCGTGTTTCCGGCACAGGACAGGCTGCGTGTCTGAGACAGGAGAGGCTGCGTGTCTGACACAGGAGCGGCCGTTCAGCTCTGGAGCGGGCTTGTCCGTAGCAGTCCCGTTTCTGAGAATCGAGGTATTTTAGGAGCGCTGATTGGCGACTAACGGACGGCGCAGGCGGCGGGGCGACGCTGTTACATTTACAGAACCCTGCGTGATATTTTGTAGCTCAAAACACGTATAACTGCACAGTATTGTACTCATAATTAAAAAAGCACGACGCCTATACTATATTATGTACTACTCACTATATTCGCATCATTACCGGCGCAGGACTCGTACTTCCTAGCCGGGTCTCAGTGGATATAATTTAGAACAAAACTCGTGCAATATTGATATCACTAAAGACACCGTGAGAGAGCCATAGACTATGCGAACACCTCTATAACATTTATTAAGCACTATATACAATACAGTGACGATACCAAGGTGTTTTATCTCACGTCTGTCAACTGGGTAGTTCACTAAATCTGCGGTGCGGTGGGCAGTATGCGGGGCCTACGTCAGCGATGCTCGTCTCTTCCCCAACGCCGCTTTTCCTCTCGGCGGCAGGAAGCCCTGGATAAATCCTTGACATGTGTCGCTCCAAAATCCTCCATTGACCTCTAAGGCCACAGTTGGGTCCCCACAAACAGCGAGCCTCCTAGACCGGCGAGGCTTTACAACGCTATTACCAGGGATTCCCTAAATAGTAAATACTTAAAGCAGGCGAACAATGCCTAAAAAAGCCGACGATTAGCTACGTATTTCAATCTGGTGAACTTCTTACGTCACAAACACAGCCAAAGGTGGTCTACAGCTTTGCAATGAACCCGATTCACAGCCGCGACACGAACATTCCGAGCCATCGGTCTTAAATGGATGGTGATTTAAAACGTTGCGCAGCAAACTAATCGCGTTCGTCGTAAGGTGCTGAGGCCAGCCACAACTTCTGCGACGAGTTATAAGCCGAGTTATTTGGTATTTTATACTATTAGTACGTAAAGTGAATGTTGGCTGAAAAATCTGTAAAAAAACACGGATCTGAGGGTCATTGGAAAAGCATGGTGTCACCACCTTTCTGTGGCTGATATGGGGTAGTTTGTGGTATATTTCTGGCACCTGCTATATTCTATCCTAATTGGAGCTACCATGTTTGGCAACCCTTTTGAAACTCAACTTGCTCATACAGTGAAACGTCATTGTTTCGACATGTGCTCTACTATAGCTTACATTAGCGAGTAAAAAGCAAAACTAAACATTGATTGTCGTCTAAGTGTGAACGTGTGTTGTAGTACGGTTCGATCTGTTGTAGTTTGCTGCTATGTTTGCAAAGCTCTAACCAAATAGTTCGCAAAATTTTTCATTTTTTTGTCACCGGTCATATCCTGTAAATCGGCAATTTTTTACGCCTGATCAAAACCTCAAAATTCGAAGTCTGTCGTGGTGGTGAAAAAACTCCAAAGGCAAGTTGTCAAGGTCAAAGGGAAGGTGGGGGGGGGGGGGGGGGGGGGCGGTTAGAGCCGTACCGCGTCATCCGGGGTATATTATAATACAGTGTTAGCTGCTAGACGCCCATCCATTGCAACTTCGGCGGTTCAGGGAAGTTTCACACATTTGTATAGTGTTTTTAACTGAAAAAGTCGTCTCGAAGATTAATCGGTGCAGTTCACAGCCTTCCTCCCCTTAAGATCTAAGCCCCTCCAGTTTCCAAGCTGCACACCCGTGGAGACGCCCAGACTGTTCCGTGCAGACTATTCCAAGGTCACTCATGAATTCAGAACGCCATAATAACGGGACTCAAATCGTGTCCTTTCATTGGTCGTGCGGCGATCAAGGCAAATAAGGACATAATTGTTGAGTCGTTCATATTTTTCGTTTGGGAGCATAATCTTCAGATATCATGGCCCTCAATTGACTCTTAATCAGTGTTGTGCCAGGTACGATGACGCCATCAAACATTAACGTATTGAGTAGCATATTTACTAAATCGAGAAGTTGTGTTATCTTGAGCAGTCTTTTCCGTTAAAAAATACATGAATATTTATAAGCGAGCTTATTTCATCACATTTGGCGCTTCTTTAATATCTTTAAATTTTGAACACGCTTTTTAAGGTAAAATAACTGGATAGCGCCATTGTGCCGCTGCATCAGCTCCAGCCTAGGCTCTGAAAACATCAGAGTCAAAGTCGAAATCCATGGTTAAATTTAAAGTTAAACAAAAGAGTAGCGCCGCAACGCCACCCTTTCGGACAGATACTGAAAAATTTTTACATTGGACTGGTTGAATATTTCGAAATTTGACTTGGATGTTATAGTTACTGTGGTATTGGTTTGATATCTCAGCTGGAATCGACTACAAGCTTTCTAAAAATGTCTATACCTATACCTATGCCTATACATTTCTAATAATGCATATATAAATAATCTATACAGATCAATTTTATGCAGTGGCAGTGCTGCGTTACCCTGTTCTTTGACCTTGAATTTTACCTTACGTTTTGCTTTAACGCCGGTGTTTTTGGATGCCAAGGATGGAGTCGACAACGGGCTTTCTAATGACGCCTTTGTTGTGGACATCCGTGCCATACAGCGGCAATGCAACACTACCACCTCCTTCGACCCTGATAATTTGTTTTTCGAGCGCTCGTACCACCGCAACGGACCTTAAAGTTTGACGTTTTGATATCCCAGGCTAGAATCGAACATGGGTTTTCTAATGTTGCCTCACCTATACAGATCGTTGCCACAAAGTGGCAGTGCGATGCTACCCCTGTCCTTTGATAACGAGTTTGACCTTCAGTCTTGACTTCGACTCTGACGCTTTTGGAAATCCACGCTGAATTCGACAACGTGATTAATTTTACACAGTGGCAATGCGACGCTTTCTCGTGCTTTGACCTTGAAAATGTGTTTTTGGAGCTTTTTTACAACTACATTGGACTTTGAAGCTTACCGTTTTGATATCCCACGATGGAACTGATAACTGGCTTCCAGATCATATCATTTTTAAAAACATCAGTGTCATACAGCGGTGGTGCGTTTTGCTTGCGTGTTTAGTTGACCTCTGGAGGTCAGTTTATTGCAGGTAGAGGAGAATGAGCCTGAATTTATTATCAGCGGGCTGCATTTGACCTAAACACTCATTTTAAGCGGAGTCAGGTACTCGACGCTGGATTCGAATACGAATACGTCGTTGACTTACCAGACGTCAAAAGAAAGGGAGGCAAATTCCGCCATGATATTAGTCACTTTCTTAAGAATTCAAGCGCGTAGTTGGACAAAATTTGTGTGGGAAAGACAATGCGACATGATTTTTAACTAGATGTCACTGTGGCCACAGCTGCACTAAAGAGACGTAGTGTGGTAATTTTAAAATATGTGTGTAGAGTTCCGATGCTTTTAGCTTTGGCCTTTTGCGTACTTTGTTGTCTAATTTTGGCCCGAGTTTCAAAGTGAACCGCACAGCGTATTTCTGCAGAGGCATGTAGAGCGAGGTAGGCATTGCTTTCGATGTTTGTTTGGTGTATACGTTCGACCAAGTTTTTGCATCTGGTGTTTAAGATTGTGTTGTTTGGCCTGTTTCAGCTGCCTTCGACTCAAAGAAAGGTAGCAGCTGTCTATATTCCTGGTCGTATCAAAGCCAACCACCAGTGATTCTTGACTGTGGCCGATAGACAACAAAACTCAAACAATTTAAAGATCATGACAACCACCAAGCACAGAAATAATATTTTTGAGCCGATTTAGTGCGCGTACCTATTTTTGACCGAACTGTTCGAAAGTGACCAGGTGCGTTTTGAAAGCTATACTGTTCAAAAATAACCAGGAGCGTTGTGAAAATTACACTTTTCCAAAAAGACTAGGAGCGTTGTGAAAGCTATGTGTGTGCGGGGTTGCCATGATGACGAAAGCCTCTTCTATCACCAGGTTGTGGCAGGGCACATTTCGGTCGCACATGCTTGTCGTCCTGCCATAGCAACAGCTGCAGGAGGCGTCTCCTCTGCGTGCCAGACCCGTACGGCTGCTCCTGTGCACCAGGCTGGAGCGGGACCTTCTGCCACAGAGGTGGGTGGCCCTTGTCCTGCTCATCACATGCGCCTCGAGTGATCGCATCAGGTAACGACTGCTTTTTTTACTGCCTCGGGCAAAACGATTTGGATAGGCAGATGCAGTCATTGACGCTCCTGATCACCATTAACATATCAGTACTTTTATAGTCACGATAACACTAGCGTTATCGAATGTCGCCACGCAAGGACCTCGCGGGGCTCTTTTAGGCGCTGCACAGCCTCGCGGTGTCGTGCAGCGCCTAACCCCGGTTACCCCGCCTACTTAGCCCCGCCTACGCCAGCCGCCTGATCACGTCGCCAGCACCAATGGCCCGGTTTGGCCTGGGGTCTTTAGGTGCGAGCCTCTATCGGTTCCGGGTTCTCTAAGGTGCTGGACCTGATAAAGGGAGTGTTCCACACTTGTTTGGGCGTTTTGAGTTGAATTGTTCATCCTGAAGATCATTCAGTGCAGTTCACAGCCGTACGCTTCATCGGATCTAAACCACTCTAATTTCTGGGCTACACGTCCGGGAAGCTGTGCTGACTATCACATGCAGGCTATCTCATGGTAGCACAGACAACCACGACGCTATAATGACGTCATTCTGATCTTGATTGGTCAAGCGGCGATCAATGCCAAACAAAATGTCATTGTCGAGTCGTTCATACGTGGCGTTCGTGAGCCCAATTTTCAAATATGTCGGCCGTCAATTACTCATCAATCAATGTTGGTAAGGGTGCGATGACGCAATAAAAAATGACGTCTCGAGGAACATATTTACCAAAGAGAGAAATCACGCTGTCTAGAGCAGTCTTTACCACTCGACAGCATACCAATAGTTATCATCATGTCTGGTGCTTGCTTCAACAGTATACCAATAGTTCTAAGTGAATTCATTTCATCATATCTGGTGCTTGCTTCAAAATCTTCGAATGCGGAACATTTCCTTTCATTGCCGGTCTGGACCCGCTGGTCAAGGGTCCGGTCGCTGTTCCCGATGCGTTTAAGGATATGACAGTTCCTTGAATGCACTGAAGGCGGTGACCTTTCCAGAAAGCCAGGTGTAGCCACCTGTGAACTGAGGGTGAGCTCCGGGTCCCAGCTCCGCGTAGCTTGATCCAAGTGACTTAGCCCACCGATAAGTTATTTCTTTGTTTTGCTTAGAGAGATGCCGTATGGCGTTTTTATTGCTGTGGCATCTGTGTTGTATATTGTGAACTGCTGTAGCTTTGGGTTGATCGAGCGGACATCTCCCGCTAGATATCCTGCGAATCGGAGTCTCGTGATGTTACTAGGTGGGACGCAGTACATGTCATCTTATTGTTTTCTATCAACAGTGAGCGCATCAAAGATATCTATCGTGGCTGTTGAAGTTTAGGCATACTTGGCTAAACACTAGCGTAAAGGACTGTGAGGTCAAATGCCCCTTAATTCGTCATCAGTTTAGTGAAGTTTGAACTTTTCGTTTGTAAACATGCTCTGTTTGACAAAATTAGTGTTATGTAGAAAACAGCAGGTAATCGTCCTGTTAAACATGCTTAAAAAACGGAAGTGCACAATAAAACAGGCTTGAAGTCGTCACAAAATACGCGCGAAGGCTTTAACATTTGAATCAACTTTTACACGGGAAAATGTAAGTTTAAAAACCCGCTGACAATACTTTTTTGGAGGGATTTCCTCATCCGCTTCCAAACGTGCAGTCGCAACCACGTGGAAATACAGTGATGGCTCGCTAAGGAGGAACTAACCCCAATTTGTGTACTCCCGAGGGATATAGGGGAAAACGTTCCCCGCGTGGAGCAATTGGCGTATTTGTGCAAGATGTTTAGCGCCCACATATCGTAGGAGCGTGATTTTTAAAACTTTATCTCCTGAAGGGAATGCTCCATATTTGAAGATGTTGAAACAAGCATCAGATATGACAAAAGAAGCTCACTTATGACTACTGGCATACGTTTAAGTGCAAAATACTGCTCCAGACGACACAATTTCTTTGTTTACTGAATAGGCTCCTCAATACGTCATTGTCTGATCATGTCATCGTACCTTGCACGACATTAATTGAAGGCCAGCTAACGTTCGTATATCTGGAAATCCTGCTCACGAACGCCAAACGTGAATGACTCGACAATTATTTTTATCTTAGCCTTGATTGCAGCGTGGCTAATGGAATGGCATGATTTGAAAGACATCATTATGGCGCCATGAACGCCTGAGTTACCTTGAAATAGTCTCCCCGAAATAGTCTGCACATCTTTGCGGGCGCGTAGCTCAGAAACTGGAGAGGCTTAGGCCTTAAGAAGGACAGGGCTGTGAACTGCACCAATTACCGATTACTGATTGCCGATTACCGATTACCAAAACCCGATGGCTGTTCGATTTCCCTGAAATGTTCTACATTTCTAAGACGAAAGTTCCCTAATATATTTAGAAGAGGGGAACGGAGAGACAAAAACAAAAGGTGATGGTTTATATTTGATCCGCGATAGTTTAGTAACCAAGTTTAGTAACATAGTTTAGTAAGCAAGTTTAGTAACCACCTTCGCTGCAACTGGCGCAGATCGATAGCTAAATGATCGCAAATCGAGATGTCAGTAGTTTTTTTTTCTAAAGATCCCGAGTTTATAGGCGTACCCAGAATGCAAACAAAGGGAGGATAACAAAAAGTCCTCAGACTGGTTTTCCATTGAGCTCATGGAAGAAATATGCGATGGTGTGTTGTTATGACATCATAAAGATGGTATAATCTTAAAAGCACGTATAGACGGTGCCAGTGGAGTGAAAAGGGAAGCGAAATTAGTAGAAGACAATGACTACTGGCCGTAATGTTAATATTCCTTCTAGATAAATTGCAGGGCTGATATAGCGGGTGTGAACATGTGGTATAGGAATGTGCAGGTTTCAGAAGGAGGGGAGTATGGACGAGTGACTTATGCGTGGTCTATTGAAATGGCCGGCGATCGCTGACTGCCGATCAGCGATCGCCGATCGCTGACAATAAGCGCCAGGCAGCGCACATCATCCAGTAGGGATCCCCATCTTAGCAGCATCGCCAAATTTCACTGGAGCCCTTCTCGAAACCGGATCTTGGATGTGCCCCCACGTGTGCCACGAGATCTAAGTTTTGGCACAAGACGTGCAAAAAAATGCCTAGGAAAAGTAAGCAAATTCTAACGACTTGGTCCAAACCATTTTGGAGAAACCAGCAACAGATAAAACCGAAGAGGCGATCGAATGCCCCTCCCCATCTTAAATAACAGGGCGGGGACAAAACGGGTGGTGATAGCGAGTGCAGCATTAAACATTCATGTGTCCTGAACTGAATACGGCTCTTTTTTATAGAAAACTTGGGTCTAGATAAACTCAGTCAATGGCCAACCGGCAAGCACACAACGTGATATATTATAATATCACTATTGAATACACGTTGATAGTGCACGGTGAAAGGAAAGCGAAAACCACCGCCAGCGACGGATTTTTCCCATAACCATCGGTATTCATCACGGGTACCAATCAACATGCTTGGTTGCCGACCTTCTTTCTTTTTCAGGCTGTACACGAGAACGGTATGGCCCGGACTGTGAGTTCTCGTGCGGCAAGTGCAAATTCGGGTCATGCGACAGGTTCACGGGACAATGTGACGACGGATGCGCTGACAGCAACGACCTGCCTCCTCTTTGTCAACAATGTAAGCTTGCGTCACGCGTGTGTAAGCTGTGTAAGCTGTGTAAGCGTCACGTATGTAAGCTCACACACGCACTCTGATGTGATCCAGCTGCAATGCCTTGCAGTTTTCTGACGGTACACTGCGTAAGTTTGAATCCTGTTGCCGATGAAACAGGGCGTTTATACCGACATGCTCCAATGCCCATATAACTTAACACACAAGGAATTATAAAATAAATACCAGCTGCTGGAAGCCGGTACTTGTGATCTGAACATTGAAGTTATTGACGTTGGGTATACGCGGCAGATTTGCCTGGCAATGATTTCAGCAAGCAACACCTATGCTATAACAGTGGAATCACGTGCAGGTCTAATTGGCCCTCACATAACCCGGCCGGGGGGAAGTTGACTTCTTCCCTACGGTTTTTCGGCCACGGGCCACAAATATACGCTTGCAGCAGCACAACATTTTTAGCAGCCCTTCGTCTATCAATTTGGCATTCTTTGTGGAAACTTGACGTTTTAATCTACCAAGATCAGTGACCTTAGTCAGGTCAGTCAGATCAAGCTCTAAATGACGTTTATCACACACAGGTCTTGTGGATCATTTGCGTTGTTCAACCCGGACATTGTAATAGAACATGATAGTACCTACACTTCGTATATTTCAAATTTTTGCAAAAGGTGAGAACAGCGATCTAAAATCACGCCAATATTCACTATTGTTTCGTAGCTAATGCAAAGTTGAGCGCAATGTGTGGTTTTGGTGCTTTTATATGAGGTAAACAGTACTAACTCACGTGCACCACAATTACATGACTACAGAGCACATGGTCTTGGCCTAGGTCATGACCTTCCTGTATGAGTACCTTCCGCAAAACCATGCTGAGCTCAAAATAAACAGTTTCATTAGGTAGTTTTAGACACAGAGTTCAGATACCCTACTAAGAACATGTTGTGATTCCATTCTAACGCATATTGCGGTCACAATAGGTCACGCGGTCGTCAAAAGGTTGCAAGGTCATATAACGTCATCCAAGGTCAATGATCTATGTTGCGGGTAATGGGGAGGCTATGCGAACGATTGCGATGCGTGTAACAATCTTTTTATCGTTCTGTGAACCTGATGACGCATGATTATATGTACCAACGCACTTGCTCTCTGTTTGTTACAAATGTAATGCTAAGCGCCGAACGGACTATGCATAATGTAAACAACAGCGATGCGATTTTGAGTACCTGTAAATGTGCTGCAAACTTTTTCTGGCCACAGAATAGTATTGTGCTGTTTACAGAGACCCGGTTAGCACTATTTTTTCATTTGCATGGTCTATAGATTTGACCCAATTTGGCCTGAGATAACCTCCAGATCAGCCCATAATAGCAATGTTGTGTCTGAGCTAATTTTGTCCTACAGCTGCATCTAATGAAATAAACTCGGTCAGGAGCACATCGTGAACAAGTATCGTTCTTGTAGGTTACTGGTAGACCAATGTTTGACGGTGACCTGATCTGACCTAACTCTTGCAGGGGAAAAAAGTGGTCGGAATAGACTTAACGCGTATTTCCGTGCCTTCAATATCCATCTCGGCGTGTTAACATAGGCTTATCTGCATTTATCCGAACGACCGTTTTTGACCTTTTGTAAGCTCTGCCGACCCCACATCTGGGCTAAGGTCAAACATTTTGAACGCATTCTTCACAATTTGACGAGACCCTCACAACGGTGTCTTTGTTTTTCTCATACGGTGTTGGGAAGCTGGGAAGATCCCGGGGGGGGGGGGGGGGGGAAGTCGACACTCCGGTCGCGCCCGGCTGTCTCAGACCCCCGGCCCGGCGCACGTCAGGTTTTTCCGGAAGAGCTAAGTTTACATTATGTATCCTCGTGCTGTGAAAACTTCAAGCACCTGGCCGTAACGGCTTCGTGATCAATAACCACTTCCTCAATGCAATATGGGTAGCATCTTTTGGTAAAAGTGGCAATTAGAATTTTGTTTTCTCAAAAAATAACATTCAACAACAGGAGGATTCACAAGAGTATATTTCTCGCCTATAGCCTGATTTGACCTGCCAAAGTCACTCCCTATTTCAGTCCTACCTTTTTGTTCCAAAGTGTGATGAGAGGTTTCCAAAGCCATTTCCACGCGACTCTAGCTTGTTAAGTTTTTAGATCTTGCGTCCTCTGAAGGCAACTCGCAGAGCTCCGGTGAAAAAACGTTATTACGTTGCGTTACGTTACGTACGTTATTATTACGTTACGAAGACAAATTAAGATGCTTCTTGAGCGCGGATGGATATCAACTTTGCTCACCTATCACTTACTGCAGGCAAGATGTCATAATGTGTACACATCTTTTGATAGCGGCGACAGATTGTACAACGCTGACATTGCGGCCCCCACCATAGCCAGAGTTGTCCGGACGGGTGCAGGTTCGTTGCGGTCGTTCGGACTGACCGTCACAGGCTGTCCTGCAGATCGCCTGCGCAGTGTGCCGGCACGTACGCATGAAACGGGCGTGACCGGGCCGTGACCGGGCGCTGACTGACGACCCTCTTCCCCCCGGTAGTGTTTCCGTGGTTCCGTGACCCGCCCCAGCTGGTGGAGGTGGGCTATAATCGCCTGGTCATCACCCACGCGCCGTGGAGTTCAGAGTATGACAACGGCTTCGGCCACGGCCCGTACCGCTACGCGGCCGAGTACCGGCGAGCAGACACCGGCGGCAGCTGGGTGTCGTCACGGGATGGTCCTGTCGTCGGCGGCCGTGATCCCGACGGTATGTGGTGTCGGAGCGTAACCGGGCTGGTGTCATCCCTTCCCACTCCGTGTCAGCTGACCGTCGAGCGTAACCGGGCTGGTGTCATCCCTTCCCACTCCGTGTCAGCTGACCGTCGAGCGTAACCGGGCTGGTGTCATCCCTTCCCACTACGTGTCAGCTGACCGTCGAGCGTAACCGGGCTGGTGTCATCACTTCCCACTCCGTGTCAGCTGACCGTCGAGCGTAGCCGGGATGGTGTCATCCCTTCCCACTCCGTGTCAGCTGACCTTCGAGCGTAGCCGGGCTGGTGTCATCCCTTCCCACTCCGTGTCAGCTGACCGTCGAGCGTAAACGGGCTGGTGTCATCACTTCCCACTCCGTGTCAGCTGACTGTCGAGCGTAACCGGGCTGGTGTCAGCCGTTCCCACTCCGTATCAGCTGACTGTCGAGCGTAATCGGGCTGGTGTTAGCCCCTCCCACTCCGTGTCAGCTGACTGTCGAGCGTAACCGGGCTGGTGTTAGCCCTTCCCACTCCGTGTCAGCTGATTGTCCACTGTCGACTTGGACGTCAAGGAAGTTAAGTGGCAGTTTGATCAGCTGTGGTCCACATCTGTATGCATGCAACAGCGCTCCTAGCGAATGGTATGATAATAGGAACGACTAATGTTATAATTTACTGTGCAATTGTTGCAAACAGAAGCCACTTAAAACAAAGTAAGTGTACTATGCGAATTCAAATGCCCATACGGAGGCTACTGGCTTCCAAACTCAGCACTCCTTGGAATGGGTGCTACTCTATCGCGCCAGCTGATTGTGCACGTGCAGGGGAGGGCGACACACCAGCATATGGGTGAAACTCGAAGCTATAAATCCCTTTCTTTTGACTTAACACGCGCCCGAGTTGCCGGTTGAATACGTTGCGCTCAGGTGGGGGTCGATTTGACACCCCACTGAGATATAAAAAACTAAGACAGCTGGAGACACCAAAGTCACAGTGTGGATGGGCATGTACGTGGACTTACTTGTGTCAAAATTTGAGGCTCCTAGTTCATGACCTTGTGGTCAGACAGCTCTTAGTTTGGAAACTGCAGAGGGTGGGGGAAGGGGGCGGTTTGCATCGATCTCCTACCACTCTGCCATGAAAGACGATGAATCAGGGCGAGGGTCAGTGAATTGAGTGTCTTTCATTTGCTTGAAGCCGATGCTGACTGCTACCTAATGAGGGCTATATTTTAAACCAAACGTATGATCATTTGCTGTTCCAGGACCCCAAACTATTCGCTTCGAAATCCGAAACTTAGAAGCAAGCACAAAGTATTTCGCCAGAATCATCATCACTGATACCACCCTGGGACGTTCGGCAACTAACGAATCGAAAGTTCCATACGTCCCCGCTACCACAGACTGTGCTGGTAAGGGCGTTCCGACTTACTGCCGGCTGGATGCAACTGCTCGTCAACATGAACGAACGCAATGCTTGCCAAACACGAAAGCACGCTTTAGGAGCCATTGTTTGAATGCTATCACGAAAACATTCTAGTAATCGTCGTTTAACTGTTATTTGATGCTGCATTCTGTTGGCTGCCAAAGCTTGCTACCTACCAAAGCTTTGTTAGCTGGCTCCCTTTTAAAACAATCTGCAGCACATGCGTGCATGTGAAATATTGTTCCGTGATAACATGGTGATGCATGATATGACAAATAGGAGGCCAATATTGAATCTGAGCGCTAATAATTTCCTTTGCGTGATGGCCTTCATGACTGACAGGCTCGTGTCGTCCACAGAACCGGGAGAAGCTAGCGACATTCTTATTGTCGACCTGACGGCCGTGTCCGTCTCCGTCGTCGTCCAGGTGATTGTCTATGGATGCATCGTTTGCCTCGATATCCCTATTTCATTTCCCCCCTCCCCCCCAGACACACGCACACCGCACACCGCACACACCTGAAATAGCACCATAATTGGAACAATGTGTTTTTAGACCGAAAATTATGGAAGACACTGTCAGATTTCAGCGCGGGTTTTGGTGGCCGGTTGAGTATCATCCACTTGGATGAGGATCGATTGGACCGCTGGGATCTCCGAAACTAGGAAAGCTAGAGGCACCAAAAACGCACGGTTGGTTAATTTGCATGTGGAATCGCTTGCCAAATTCACAGGGTGGGTTAATTTTTAAGTGAAATCAGCTGTTTCAAGCTTTAATATTCCAAAGTCACGACCTTCGGGACAAATCAGGTCAAGCAGGGAAAACTCCAGATTGGTGCTCAAAGTCTCCCAGACATTCTCACACAACCACCGTGAACCCAGATACCTGTTCTAAGCAAAAGGTCATTGGCGTCCATTAAGGGTCAGGTCACCCTGTCTAGCCATTGAAGGCTCAATGTTACAAAAACCGCAATATTGCTGTTAGTTTTTCATTCAAACCAGCTTTCAGGATTACGCCAGATGTTATTTTCCTGACAACAAAATGCTAGCGGTGTCATTTTAGGTCAGTGACCTAATCTGACCTTTGAGAAGCCTTTGGAGCATGTTTGTTGCGGTCCTTGTCATTAATAGATTCTACTTTAGCATTAAAAACTACCCCATAAAGCAAGCATTCAAGTAAAAAAGCAGTCAAGTTTGACCTTGGTCTGACCTTTACACCTGACGCTAGGCCAATGGAATTTGTTGCAGTTCCAAATTCAGTTCGTGTATTGCCTACGAATTCAGTTCGTGTATCGCCTAAGAAACTATCTCGGATGTGAATGGCTTCGTCCAACACTCCGTTGTCCCACCAGGTTGAACGGTTCCCTAGGAATGTCCTTCCCTGATAGTCCTTGTCCTGATAGTCCCTGATGTCCTTCCTTCGGCGTCCACTTTCGCCTTGCTCATTAAAATACCTGCATTGCCTTAATCTCTCTGAACACCGAAAGTAGGATGCAGCAGGAGTCTAACATGCGGAAAGTGTGGTAAACAGAGGCATTGGGCGGAGGTTCTCAAACTTCCCTCTGGCTAACTCTGCTTCGTGAGAACTATGGACACCAACACGGCTTAATCGATCAATTCCCGCGTCTTTTTATATTGCCTGCAGTACTGGGAGACCTATAGAACAAACACCATAAGGTCAAGGGAAAGGCAGCACATATTCGAAACTATCAGGTTATGTACGCCGGCCAGTGCCAACGGAAACACACGACGTTCAATTCATCCCCAAACGCCTCCCATTGATTTGGGATCATTAGCAAAATTAAGGATGAGGCTCTCCTTGGTCCGCCTTCAAATACGTTAGCTGACTTTCATTTCAACGGCATAGGAACCATATGAACAAACTGAGTTGAGAGAGAAGAAAGAGAGAGAGAGAGGGAGAGGGAGAGAAAGATAGACAGAGAGAAAGAGAGAGAGAGGATAGAGATCGAGTATGATCGAGATCGAGAGAGAGAGAGAGAGAGAGAGAGAGAGAGAGAGAGAGAGAGAGAAGAGAGAGAGAGAGAGAAAGAGAGAGAGAGAGAAGAGAGAGAGAGAAGAGAGAGAGAGAGAGAGATAGATAGAAGAGAGAGAAAGAGAGAGAGAGAAGAGAGAGGAGAGAAGAGAGAGAGAGAGGAGAGAGAGAGAGAGAGAGAGAGAGAGACAGCAGACAGACAGACAGACAGACAGACAGACGGACAGGCGGACCGACAGACAGACAAGAAGGGGGAACATAGGGAGGAAGAGGGGAGAGAGGGAGAAAAGGAGATGCCTCCTCTCTCTCTCTCTCTCTCTCTCTCTCTCTCTCTCTCTCTCTCTCCTCTCTCTCTCTCTCTCTCCTCTCTCTCTCTCTCTCTCTCTCTCTCCCTTTTTTCATGGTGTATTTTAGATGCGTTATATAGTGTTAAACACTTTTGCGAAGCTGAGATAAAAGATAGTGGTTCTTGTTTGCAAGGGGTTTTGAACTGAATTAGCCATATTGAAAATCTTTCGATGTAGCTAAGGGCCACTCCCTTTTTAACACCGATTCCCTCTGGTTCCTCAGCTTAAAAGCCGCAAAGATGTGAAAGAGCATTTCAAGGTCACCTTGGCATTTATGACGGCAAATTAACGTCATTCAAATCCTGGCATTCCGTAACCGTGCGGCGATCAAGGCCGGGAATCGTTCGTAAGCACGATCTCCAGATATAGCGGTCGTCAATTGGTTCTCAATCACTGTTGTGCAAGGTACGAGGACGTAGTCGAACCTTGACGCATTGAGGAGCATAGTCGCTTGACAGAGAGTTGTGCTGTGTAGAGCAGTCTTCTCTAATAAAAAGCATACCAATAGTTATACGTGAGCTTGTTTCATTATGTACGATGCTGGCTTTATTATCTTCAAATATCATGCACTGTCTGTCAATGAGATTGTGTATTTAGATAAGACAGCAGTAATAGCCTAATTTCGAGGAATAAGTCTGTGACTACTGTCTTATCTTTATGAATCATGATCCTCGCAAATGCACTCAGCAACTTGCGTGATATGAGATTAAGTATTCCGTACATTAAGGAAGACAATTGAAGACGTATCAATAGTGACCATACTGAGTTGAGTTTACTCATAAGTGCAACCTGAGTGTGGCGTGGTTCGCTTGATTGCCGTATCTGGCAAGTACGTAACGCACACCTGCGTCCCTCACGTATCTTTCAGTCGATCGCGAATGACGAGACAGCCTGCCCGTACCGGTTGAACGTCACGCTCCAATCGGCATCGCAGAGTGCGGCAGTCCCAGTCCATCAACTTGTCGAGCCAGGCGGGCGCGCGGAGTTCAACAACCTCACTCCGTACTCACGTTACACCGTGCAGGTGGTGGCGGCGAATCGGAAAGGTGCAGGTGCCGTGTCAACGAAGACTTTCCAGACCAATGAAACAGGTAAAACAGGTTATAGGAACTGTGTGGCTTGTTTGACGTACTTGTAGTTGCTTGGCACGTTCTACAAACTGAGAGGTCAGAGCTGTTCTCAGACCGACAAAGAGGTCATCACTCGAAATTTATGACTATGTTCTTGCATCGATCGCAAACGTGAAAATGCCGAAGATTGGGTTACCAAATATTTCAACGCCTGTAGTTCTTTTAACTTAAAAAGAGTATCTTCATAATTACATTTCGTTGCTTATACTCCCTAGCAAACTGGCTGCAGACTTTCAAGATATCAGAGATTGATTGGTAACGCGTGAAAAGGACGCGTAATGTAATTTTTATAACTGACAACGCATAAAAGATTAAATTACTCGCACAAGCCAAATCGGATTATCCATAAAGATGTTGACTGCTTACAAATATAGAAACCCAGTTGTTGTGCGCAGCTCCTTCGCGGGTGACGAAGTTGGAGACCCAGCTGTCAGACCGAGGAGTGCTGAGAATAACCTGGGGTGTTCCACGGCAACAAAATGGCGTCATCCGAGATTACCGGGTCGTGGTTCAGGTAAGATGCGAGTAACGTCCCGTTCATGGGAAGATGAGAGTAAACCGTCGTTATGAGGTCAGAATTCTTATGTTGAGCTGATGACCTTCAATAGGGCAGGAGATGCTCGTCAAACGGCGCTGTAAGGCTAGTAAACAATCATGCTGAGTGCATCAATGTAATTGTAATTTGGCATCACAACGGTGTTCAAACTGTACCTCTTAGTATATTGAAGACGGTTAACATTTAAGTTTTCAATTCGTAATGCTGAAAACCAGAAGCTGAAGGCTTTTCTGTGCTATGCGGCAAACCGTATCATGTTTGTTCTGCGATGACGTTCGTGTTTTTAAAGGATGCCGAACGTCTGCATATCGTCATTCTTGACCTTCGCATTGAAAAGGGTGATCTAATTAGATTACGTCATAATCTTTACATTAAGCTAGAAACGTATAGCATACGGCTAAACATACACGTAATAAGACATATTTGAAACTACGAATTTTACAGTAAATCAGACTTCCAGGAACAATGTGCTCTTTTCCACCCTCGCTCTGATAAGGCGGATGAAATCCCCCTTAAGTTATTTGACGATACCTCTCGGGCGTATTGTGCGATCGCGCCCAAATTTAAAGCAGCCTATAGGGCATTGCGCCTCTTTTGACGCCACACACGTATTCCTAACTCCCCTGATTTCGGAGGAGCAGCGGTTTTTGAGCAACATTGCACGTCGATCTACAGCCGGGGTGGGCGGCGGGCGGCAACAGACAATGCCGCGGAACGTGCGCGGCGGGCCAACATTTGTAACATCAACCCGCGCCCAACCGGGGGGCCAACATTTGTAACATCAACCCGCGCCCAACCGGGGGGCCAACATTTGTAACATCAAACCGCGCCCAATCGGCGGGCCAACATTTGTAACATCAACCCGCGCCCAACCGGGGGGCCAACATTTGTTACGTTAGCCCGCGCCCAACCGGGGGGCCAACATTTGTTACATTAACCCGCGCCCAACCGGGGGGCCAACATTTGTTACATTAACCCGCGCCCAACCGGCGGGCCAACATTTGGTACATTAGCCCGCGCCCAAGCGGGGGGCCAACATTTGTTACATTAACCCGCGCCCAACCGGCGGGCCAACATTTGTAACATTAACCCGCGCCCAACCGGGGGGCCAACATTTGTAACATTAGCCCGCGCCCAACCGGGGGGCCAACATTTGTTACATTAGCCCGCGCCCAACCGGGGGGCCAACATTTGTTACATTAACCCGCGCCCAACTGGAGGCCAACATCTGTTATATTAACCCGCGCCCAGCCGGCGGGTTGACTTACCACTAGAATCTCCAGCTTCCAGACGCTACATGAGAAAAACAAAGATACCACTTTGAAGGTCTGGTCAAATCATGACGAATGCACACGAAATTTTTTACCTTTGGTCAAATGTGAGGCCTGCAGAGGACGCGAAATGTCAAACACGTTCGTTCCGATAGATGCAGTTATTACCTACGTTACCGCTTCAAGACGGACATCGAGGGCGCGAATGTAAGCGTCGAGACCGTGGGGAGTTTATCCCGACTATTCTGCTCGCCACATGGTCGGGTTAGAACAAGTCATCATTTAAATTTGGTCCACCAATAGCCTGCCATAAATATTTTTTTCTTCACGATGTGGTTTTGAATAGATTTATTGTACTGGGTGCAGTTGCCGGAAAGAAACATTCCAGGCAAAAAATACCTTTTTTGGCCGACGTGGAGGTCATCTGAGATCAACTCAGGTCAAATTTAGGACACATCCAGTTACAAAAAAGGAAGTGCTAACCGGGTCCATGTGACCAATACATTGGTTCTCTGTGGTCAGAAATAGTGTATTGTACATCTCAACGTACTCAATATCGCATAACTGTTGTCTGTATTACGCATAATCCATTCGATGATCGGCAATGTAACTGCAAGAAACTGGTACCCTTGTACGGTTAGTGGACTGGTACATTGATACATAAAGTCAAGACGTCATCAGCTTCACAAACACGATAAGGGGTAGTTACAAGTATCATACTTGTTCATACAGCCTCTCCACTACCAGCAACACAGGTCGTTGACCTTGGATAATCTCATATACCCTTGCATGTTTTCTCATTACCTATTGTAACCTCATTATGCCTTAGAATGATATGACATGTTTTCAGAGGAGTTTCCGAGATCTGTGTCCAAAATCACGTGATAAAATTGTCTCTCTTGAGCTCAGCACGTATTTTGCAGAGAATACCCATATATATATATATATATATATATATATATATATATATATATATATATATAGTTCATGACCTGGGCTAATGTCATGTGCTCTTTGGTCAATGATGATGTTACATGTAGGTTAGTACTCTTTTCCGAATATTCTAGTACCAAAGCTGCCAAAGAATAGTGCAAGTTTGGATTATTTAAGAAAAATGATAAATATTTACCTGACTCTGGGGCACTGACCTCACCATTTCCGAAAAATATGAAAATTACCAGTTAGGTACTGTCCTGTTCTGTTACTGTTACGAGTTGAAACAATAGCAAGGGACACAAAAAAAAACGCCTGTGCGGTCATATTGTTTTAGAGATTGACGTCTCAGACCAGACTTAGGTCACTGACATTGGTAGATCAAAACTTCAAATTCTTCCAAAGGAAGCCGAAATGATAGATCAACAGGCACGGAAAATTTCGTCTCACTGCGACCTTTCCTTGTTGACCTGTGCTTAAAACCGTAAGGAAGAAGTCAACTTCCCTCCGGCCGTACGCGGGCCAAAGGTGCTCTACACCTTGACTTTATGTCAAACACATTACAATATACACCATTGTCTAAGCATTGAACAAGGAGCACGTCTGTTTAGGTTTTGTGTCGTCAAGAGGTACAGTCTCGTATGTATGATGTGAGCCTGAAAAATGCGATGTTCACGAAAATTTGACCTGTGACCTGGCTCACTGGGGCTCATTAATAGCTCACCAACATAAAAAACTAGTGAGAACTAAGTTATCTCGACAGGGCCGATTCAGCGATGTTTTCGCTTAGCTCTATCTTTATTAGTTTGGAAACGACATGGGGTGTTGTATCGACCCCCATATATATATATATATATATATATATATATATATATATATATATATATATATATATATATATATATATATATATATATATATATATATATATATATATACATATATATACATATATATATGTATATATATATGTATATATGTATATATATATATATGTATATATATATATATATATATATCATCTCTCTCTCTCTCTCCTCTCTCTCTCTCTCTCTCTCTCTCTCTCTCTCTCCTCTCTCTCTCTCTATCTCTCTCTCTCTCTCTCCTCTCTCTCTCTCTCTCTCTCTCTCTCTCTCTCTCTCTCTCTCTCTCTCTCTCTCTCTCTCTCTCTCTCTCTCTCTCTCTCTCTCTCTCTCTCTCTCCTTCTCCATCTCTCTCTCTCGCTCTCTCTCCCTCTCTCTCTCTCTTACACAAGTAGTGAAACTGAGAACACAATGGGGCTTCGGATTTGCTCGCTTAGAATTCACGAGAGATTTCATAAAACCACCCGTAAACCAAAATAAAGCAGGTTCCATCCAGATGATCACATTTTTGACAAAGGTATCATTTGGCCACTGACGAGGGCCTGAGTGCCACCAGTATACTGAACAATGTCCGATTGGTCGCGAAGAAACCAAGTCATTAAAGAACGCATCAAGTAAAGGTTTGTGAAATGACCACTTGAAAGCTGTTGCTCGGCAGTGGGTCACGAAAGGTTCTGCCTTCTTTGTCTGTATATCTTCGCACTAAACTCAACTTTGTGTTTAACTGCACGTTTTTGCCCTGCCGCCGCCTCCTCTTTCTAAATGAAATCATTTGAAGTCTGCATCGTTATGCCTTCGTCACTATGCTGTTATTTATATTGGCATTGTCATGGTTCGGTCATGTCTTGCTGATCTCTATTCTTCCTTTATAATCACACCAAGCCACCATTTGCTGTGCATGCTCGATGTGTTTGCAATAAAAGGAACGAGCACCTGTAAAAATGCAATTCATCTAGATGGTGATAGCACCTGCATTTATTCGCCCCTGAACTACATATCCCCATAACATTTCAGGGATTGTAGCAGGCCAGCTGTGTTCTGGTGGTGGTATCACGCAATTTTGATGTAGAATGGCTTTAAGACGCGGATTGTTGCATTTTGCATTTTATCTTGCCAGAGTGCATTCGTATGAGAGGTTGCGGCTGTTAAACAGGGCGTCCCACCTTTGGGACATATCTAAAATTATGCGCTGGTAAAACCTCAGGACCATTTAGTCTAATAATGACAATGGGTAGTTAGTAGCACTGGGTATAATGACACTTGGTAGTCCCCACGACGGCAAAATGTACTGAGAGCCGTTCTCAGCTGGTACATTGTTGTTGACTGTTAGAGATAACACTTGAACTGTTTTAACCCGCACCTTGCGAGTCTGTGGGCCTAAAAGTGGCACCTCTACTGCTATGAATGACGTCAGCAACGTGAAGGCTTGTGGTTGGTGCAGCGGGCGGCAAGAGCCAGTTACCGAAAAAAGCATAGATTGAAGTTTGAACCAGTGCGTTAAAGACTATTTGATACTTCGTTTCCGAGAGCCACAATGCGCTTTGAAAAGACCTACTGTGCTAAGTCCCACGGGGAATAAATCAAAGCCTCAGTATAACAGTTGATTGGATTCGCGGGATAATAGCCTCATATGTGCAAATAGTTCTCTCTGCATAGTGTTTTGAGCTTTCGACGCGTTTATTACACAATCACCTTGTCAAATTAGTGTATTATAAACCTCACAGAACAAACAGGTTGGAGAAAGCAAGACAGATTAAATGCAGCTCTTCTATGATGGTGAGCAGGGAGGCCAACGGCATTCCTCTGGCAGGAGCAGCCATTTCAAATCGGAGTTTTGAACTATTTGGACAAATTGCGAGAAAACTACAGCTGCCGATCAAATAGCACGGGTCTGATCTAGCAATAACTGAAAAGTACAAAAAGGTAGCATGTCTGTAAATTTATCCTCGGATTTTGCAGCAGAGTACGTGAAACATATATAAAGGCATGCGCGTTAATCTGAGCGTGCTGCGTTGCAGCACCGGCGATATTTCGCATGCCAGCCACCAAGAGCTGATTTTAAGGATGCTGTGGACGAGCTCACGCGGACCCGCGCTCATGTGGTCCACCTGAAACACGCATTCTCCGAGTACTCAATCAGCGTCGCGGCAGTCACCGTCGAAGAAGGCCTGAAGACAGCAGAAACCGTCCAAACTGCTCGGAAGCGTGAGTGCTACCAGGCCGGCGGGGGTGTCGGGTGTCGGGCGGTGAGGGTCGTTACCGCGTTGTGGCTGCTCGTCCTATTCCTTCCAGTTTATGCATGTTAAACTATGCCGCCCGACGCCTGTGCTGCCATCATTATGCCATACTGTAGGGTGTAGCTGATTCCGCCGTGTATTTCCGATGCATGTCTGCTTCAATATCTTTGTGCTTTTCTGTAGTTCGTAGCTAATACCGATGTTTCATTCCAAGGGTAACGTGAAGTATTTTGTGTTCACACGATAAATGGCCTTTGCATTGATTCTAGAAGGCGTCGTGCGAACAGTCGTCATGAATAATAACGGCCTTAATGTTTGCTCAAATATCAGTACCTCAGAAACATATATTTGTGTGTGGTACAGGAGCTACTTCCACGAAGGATTACGGTGCAAAACTTTTTAAAACTTTTTAAGACCTTTCAGCATTGTTTTACTATCCACACACCTTTTATCAGCGATTTTCGGCGAGGAATACTTCGCAGATTTCAAAACATGTTTCCATGACTATGATATCAGTTTTACTCCACTACATTGTCCATTGGGAAACAAGGAGTACAACATATCTAATGCTGGGGCCCAAGGAAGGTGCACAACAAATATCGTTTACAAAGTCATTTTCAGGTTATTTCAGAGGTTAGATGCACAAAAGAAACCAAACACTCCGCAGGTTACGCTTCAACGGACATTTTCGTAATGAAAAAACAGAACAGAACCAAAGATGCGTGTTTTAAAGACCATATTCACGAAAGCCATCCATTTGTGCCTAGAGGCGCCTCCTGCGATGAGAGTGAAGCGATCATACCATTTTAAAGATAAAACACTGCAACGACATGTTGCGCGCTATTTTTTCTTCCGTGCAGTCAACATCATGCATATGATCACTGCATCTCAGAAGTGGCAGACGAAAGAGGAGAGACAAAAGAGGAGAGAATGGTTATTGCAGCACTCGGAAACCGTAGCCGCTAACAGCGGAACAACACCAGACGGCGGTACTTCGATGACGTACGCTCAAACCACTTGTCCCTCATCCCTCCTCCGAATACCTGGAAACGCTCGTGAAACATGCCTACATACGCCATAAAAGCATCCCCGTTCATTTAGGGCGGATACCAGCATTGTGGCCGACAGCTGATATTGATCACTCACTTAGCGTCCTCAGGTTCTTAGTCTTTTTCTCACACCCGCTTCACTACGCTGCAGCGCATATGACTGCACTATGGGCTTATCCCTTCCTTATGACGTCATAGTAACGTACCATTGCGTTATTCCGCGTTAACTCCATAAATAATCCGTTTAAGGGTTTTGTCGTTCTCCCTTTTTTCGCCTGGAAAGCCTAATTAGTTTCAAGACTTCAATGCCGCCCAAATCTATGAATTTGTAAACCTTACGCTATCGCGCTGTGTAAGTTGGGTCAAAATCAGTTGACAAACATTCCGACTATAACGGATCAAAAGTGCTCGGTCAAATTTGTCTTTTGGCAACCATCGCACCCTTCCAAAAATATTGTGGCGTGCGTTTTTTTTCAGGAATGAAGACCATGTTGAAAGAAATCGAATGCCGTTTGGCTTTTGATGGTTGGCCAAGTACCTGTTGAAAGATCGAGAAGGAGCCAAATTAGCCGCTCTGAACTTCATTTTTTACACATTCCTTATTCCACCAGCTTATAAACACCATTAACTGATCAACGTGTGGCAGGTCTACGTGGTTGTCCTTCCCGTAAGATATCCAGGCTCGGAGAGGGTGGTCCCGATAGACGACTTCCCTCCATCGGAAATGAGGTCAATAAATCGGCTACCACGGTAAGACATTACCATCCACAAAACATACCACAAAAACGGCACGTCTCAGGCCTACAAGGTCAACGGAAAGATCGTCTGGTTCACCGTCAGAAGACGCTGTAAACGAGTGCCCCAGGGAACCATCTGAGGCGATTAAAAACAAAATATACGAAACATCCTCTACTGATGCAAAACAGTCGAGCTCGCGATACATCTCTACTGAAAGCATCACACACAATACACAGTTGCAAGTGCCTTCATGGAGCTTGCGCTCCGCCCAACTCCGCCTCCCATGCTCACAGAACTACTCGCCTGATAACAAATGTCTGGCGTGTCTGATTTTTAAGCAGCATTCGAAACGGTCATAAAACACACGGACCAAAACAAATCATATTTTGCACGGTGAAGTCGCATTTTGTAAGCTCTAAACTACGTAAGCTGTTGAGTGCACTTGCAAGGAGCATTACATGTGCATAAGGCAGTACTGTTAGCCTTATTCCTCGCCGAATTATTAGGAAAAGGTACAGATAGACACGCATGTCTGATGCATCGATCTCTTCTTTCTCCTAGTTATTTGACGAGGAATGAGGCTAGTCGTTTCGTCTTAAGCTTTGAACTACCTTGCACCGGCTCTGCCGGACCTACATCGATTTAGAACAGGACTCAATCTTTGCGTCTCTGCAGGGTGCCCTGCTTCACTGTTTGCGTCACCACCGTCTGATGGGAACGGCTCGCACGAAACCGTGCGAAAATGAGCACAAGCTGCAGCGCATGTTATTTGCTGAATCTATGGTCTTCGGCCCACCAAACTGTTGTCCCAGACTTCGTCGCAAACTGAGCTCAGGATTGAGGTGACGGCTTAAAAACAACTAACTTTGTAATCAAATTCATGCCATAAATCGACATTAAACGGTATCATAACTAAAATGCATAATATTTCGCATGAGGTAGTGTGCATGAAGTTCTCCAAGAAAGCAGCAATCCTTAACGCAAGTCCCTGTGCAATCCTTGATGTGATACAGCAGCCGCTGATCATGGCAGCCCACGTGAGCTTCGGCAGTTGTCGGGAAACGATCTTGGGTCACTTGATACTCCGACGTTCCATCTCCCAGGTCCTTATGGTAATCAACAGTGGCAGTGCTTCGTAACCCGCAACGCGCACATTGTTTCCAGCACCGTCGGCCCCTGTCAGGGACTTCGCCACGACCGTGGGACCGACTTACATCCAGCTGACCTGGGCATGGCCGTCGTGTGACGCCTGGGGAGACGAGCGATCCACTCTAAGGTAAGTCAACATCGGCAGCGTTCTACTATCGCGTTCTGCTGTAGGATCGTCGGCTATCAGCCTTCTTTGCATATAGAAACGCGTCCCTATTGCGAGAATGTAGCCCCTAAAAAAGCATGTCTGAAAGGCTTGCGGGAAAATCCAAGCCCGCAGAGGTGCCTCAGGTGCCCAGGACTGGGCTGAAGGCAGCAGATCTGAGTCTGAAGACATTTCGATGATTTCATTGGACAAACAAAACTCCAGGAAGACTTTCTGTAAGATCTTTTTGCTCATTGGGTTATGCTGCCCTAAAAGTGGCGTGGTGCTTCCAAGTCTTAAAAGGCGTTCGCCCTAAGAGGGCTTCCCTTATGCCAAAAAAATGTTTTAAAAAATGTTCTTAAAATATAAAGGCTCCCCATCGTGCTCATCAAAATTTTCGTTGAGCAAGGTTTGTGAGGAGACGCTTATGGTGTTAAAAGAACACACACAAGCTTCCACACGACACAAGTTTTATGATCAGGCGGTGAAATTCCAAAGGCGCTAAAACGGAATTAAGGATCACGCAGCCATCAGTACGCGACAGAAACGAATGCTTCGGAAGGTGAAACTCCTGTATATGTGTTGCGTTTCTGCACCGTCGTAAAAGCGTCGTCGGGGCTGGCCATTTCCACATTTTGGTAGTTCCGCGGTAAACGTTGTGCCCAATCACAGCAGTCTCACCTGCCCTGTGGACCAAAATGAACACATCAGTGCTCGCCCGAACAGGGCAGGGTAAATGACCCCCTACGATTTTCTGAGGATACATCGCTGGCGTGCCTGAGCAGTCGTGCCCAAAGGTTTAGTAGCCTATAAACCGTTCATTTGGCGCAATTTTACACCAAAGATGTGCCCGTAGTGTTTGTTATAATTATTTCGGAGCAGCGGCGGTTTTTGAAGAGCGCTGCATGGCGGTCTGTAGCTCGTGTAAACTGCGGGCGGTAACCGACAGTGCAGCGGAACGCGTACGGTGCATTTATATTTTTGCATTATATAGGTCACGCATCATGAAGACATGATTAAAAACACATATCCCTGTGTAGCAGTGTATCCAGAATAAAATAAGAGACAAACTTGTGTATATTCTACGTTGCTACAAGTCATGGTCTCATATGTGTGCAGTTGCAAAGCTGAAGACGTGCAAATGTCGGTAAAATTTGACCTTTGAGCTGGCATAATGGGCTAATTTTTCAAAGCATCATAAAGTTTATTACCAAAAGTAGGACCCCGTTGAGATCAATCCACTGATTTTTCGGTAAGCTCTCTTTTAGTTTGGAGATGACAGGGGATCGCATTGTCTTCCCGCGTATGTGCCGGCGTTATGGAAAACGGCGGATCACTGGGGAAGTTAAGGTTGTAACGCCTGCTGCCAGAGAGCTGGTCTGAAGGCAGCATAAGCTGTTTGATGGAATAATTTCATTTCCACAACTTTGACTGCTCGCGTCAGGTAAGAGAACAATGTCATGCTTCTGACTTCGAAGCCAAATTCGAAGCCATAACACTGTCATAAGCCCAAGTCGAGACCCAAACCAGTGGCTCTGAAGCTTCGTTGTGAGAACCCGAAGCCGAAATAGTGGCTTCACACTTTCCAGAAGCTATCGGCTGTGAACATCAACCTGCGGGGCCAAAGACGTATTTAGTGATTTTGGATCTGAAGAATGCGGAATTAGAGCCGTCCCCATCATTTTGAAATAATGAACCCAAAGCTATATCTTATTATGGTGTACAGTGTTGTTTTGTGACAATAAACCAATCATTTCGTTAGCTAAAACTCCATGGAATCCAAAAGATCATCGAGGTTTTGGAAAATGATGCACCCCGAGTATAAGTATTACGGACGAAACTTTTTTAAGATTGTCACCTTTGTCTCGTGTGTTAGTATGCACACAGCGGTTCGAACAGGGAACTCGCCGGCCTTCGTTAGGTGTTGAACGGTCCTGGCAATAACCGGCTAGGCTTTGGCTTTGAACCATATGGGTGTCGCATAATCTAAAAGTTGTGTGCCATATTCGGGTAAATGGACGGGTAAGATCACGTGGCAAAGTCGCAAACGCAGTGAAAATTTACCCTGACCAAGCCAAAGCCAGCGGTTCAAGATGCATGAGGCCATGGTCGGTCATAATTCATGAGCCATATTCGGCGCCGAAATCGAGGCCGAATTCCGTCACTAAATAATGATACAAAGTCAAAGCCGAAGCCAACCGCTCCCAACGGCATAATGCCCGCCATGGAAAATGGTTCAAAAGCAGAGCCAACACTTAAACCATTACAGAAAGCCTCTGGCTTTTCGGAGCCGAACCCGGCTTTGTCATACATGCCTCAACCAAGTGTGCATTCCTTCAAGCTATGTGGGTGATTGGGGCTTTAGGACGTATTCACATGCTGGGGCTACATGGTGTTGCCTGCCTGTCAACCTGACAGGGAGGGAAGGCACCGCAGGAAATGGAACCCTGTGCCTCTGGATTTCCAGACGCGCACCTTAACCATGACAGTGCCGGTAGGCCATTTCTTGCAGCTGGTGCTCGCACCTAATGGACAGCAGCAAAACAAAAACTTGCATTTTTGCTTAAATAAATACATTTTTCTGAAAGTTTTGTGCCTTAAAAAATGCATGATGGTTTTTTGTGTTGCACTTTGGCCCAAATATCAACCATAGGCAGCGAAGTAAAACCGGTAAGGATGCTAAGCGTTCCACTGTCATGACAGTTTTGCAGGATCGGCTGTGCAAGCCCACGCCGTATGTTCCTGGCGTGATGTGGAGTTTGCGTTGTGTGGCATGGTTATCTTTTTCGTGTAGATTAATCATCCAGGTGTGGATGTCATGTAGTGTTGTCAGTGGTTTTATGAAATGAGGTAAGCAAACTCTGTAAGTTGTTCGGTGCACTAGCGAGGAACATTAGTCACATAGATAAGACAATGGTATTAGCCTCATTCCTCGGAAAAGCCTGGAGAATGGAGATATAGTTAGGTTGATATTCCGGCAATATGCCTATCTCGAAACAATAGCAGAATTAAATAATCTCCCGGTTTTTCCGAGGAAGAAGACTAATGCTGCTGTCTTATCTAAACCAAATCTGAGCAAAACCTGGATTTTTTTTTGTGCAGTGTTGATGACGCCTTGACGGAACTTGAAGCCGCTTCTGGAGAGGGTCTCCCGATCGAAAGTCGTGGATCCGTCCGTAAAGCATGGTCAACAGAGAAGGTCCAAAAAGTTAGGATTGTGTGAAAGTCAACCTTTCCTTCCCTTTTCCACTATCCCAGTCACAAGTATTGAGAGCCCAAATCGACACTGGGAGGCCCATCTCAACATTGTGGGGCGACGGATGGTAGGCAGAACATTTGATCCGCAGTAATTAAAAGGGTGTATGTCACCTTTTTGTGCTTTTCAGTTGTCATTAGATCAGACGCTTTCCATTTAATCGGTAAAAGCAGTTTTCTCGAAATCCTTCCGAATACCCTTAGCATTTCTATTTAAAGTAGCTGCTCCTGCGGGAGAAATCTGATGCGACTCCTTGGTCACCAATATGAAAGCAATGCATTTAATTTCCCTTGCTTTATCCACGTGTGCGTTCTGTAATGTGTGCAACACACTGATTTGTGAATGTTTGTGTAATGTGTGCTACGAAGGCTTGAAACACAGTTCAGCCCAAAAATTTTACAGACATGAAGCTAAAATCTCGCGAATTCCACGAAACGTTATTATATGACTAATTTTTTCCCTATTCGTTTACCAGAGTGGCTCTTTCCGAGGCACTCTTTGAATTTGGGAATGGGAGTATGACATGGTCCATAGTGATGCCCTGGTTCAAGCTTCAGCTATTGCGCTTCCCGATAACAGGCCCTCGCCGCCTGGCGCAATCACGAGCGTCCTTTTATTCGCACCAGCGGAGGTGCCACGGCCATTGTCATGACTACGGCGGTCGCGGCTGTAGGGAAGAAGCTAAGGCTATCACAAAGCGTTGACAGCGTAATTGTGGCTTGAGCATGATTAAAATTGATGTCCCTTTTACGTCTTGACGGTGCCGCAATGGCACTTCCCAGTGCTATCACTAGACATAAGTTGTCCTAAAGTCTTAATAGCATGCTTTTTTTGTATAATATGCTCCGAAGGTGGGATACTCCCTCTAAGACACGGGGTGGTGGGGACAGGACATACTGTGATGTGCAATGCTCCCGGTCATGCTTAGATAGGTCCCCCCCCCCCCAACCCGCTTCTGTGGTCTTTGGATTATGCGAGGTGCTAGATTGGTCTCCCCTGTATTTCAGGCTGAGTGTGGATACGGATGGAAAGAGCAGCTGGAATCAGGCGTTTAAGCAGACAGATGCCTTCGACTCCCCAACAGCAGCAAGAATAGAACGCCTCATTCCATATTCGAACTACACGCTGAAAGCGATCTTTGTCAACGGCGTTGGCTCTCACCCGCAAGTTGATACTAAGGACGTGCTCACGCAGGAAGCAGGTAATGTTTGTTCGTTGCGGGACGGATAACCCGTCCTCAGCGCACTATCTCTCCTGGAGGGGCAAGCACACTCTCCGTGATCTTTGCAGGATAACCCGTCCTCAGCGCACTATCTCTCCTGGAGGGGCAAGCACACTCTCCGTGATCTTCGCAATCCATCCGTTCACACAACTACCGTGCCTCTCACACCTTGGCTCCAGGTTTTGGAGTTCTTGTTTAGCTGGTGTATTAAGTAACCTACTCTTGCACCGATGCACCGAATTGGGATACAAATAGGGAAGTTGCTTGCTAGCTCAAAAACCACATGTCCTGTAATTATAAATTGCCATTGGCTTGATGAATTTTGAAATATTCACCCTTTGTTCGACTGTGCAGACGTGGGAAATGTATCGGAGATTACAAGACAACTCTGGAAACAGCTAATCTTAGAGTCAGAATCAACTTACGAGGTCTTGTCGCCTACCGCTATTGATGCACAGTGTTTCACCTTTCGGCGGTTTGTATGTCATGTTCCATGGCTGAAAAGTCGGTGTTACCAAATGCACACTGACGTTCTGAATTAATGGATGGAACACGCAGCGGGTTTACAAATCGGTTGTAACTGGTCTCAACACAACTGACCGCGCGCCTTGAGATGTCGGAGAGGTCAAATCAATTTGTCATCGCGCCGCCACGGGCGGATCACAGCCGCGCGCGCCGTGATGTTTCAGCTCCCGGCGCACCAGCAAACTTAACTGTTCTGAGCGTGTCTCCGGAGGCTCTCATCATTGGCTGGGAGCCTCCGCGGCCACCGTTCAGTCGCATCACCGGCTACCGAGTCAGCCACAGTCAGCGCTACAGGTTGGCCACTACAGAAGATTACGCGCCTGCGAACGCGTGCCCCAGCGACAGCACGGCTGCTTCCGCCTGTAGGGCAGAGGTGGCTGGGCTTCAGATAAACACACTGTACACCATCACGGTAAGCAGTCTGCTTCTCGGTAGAGTGAGCTTCCCTCGTAGATGTCATGTGCCCGATGCGAGGTGCTCATCTTGCGTTAGCTTTTACAGTCTCGATGTCTTAGTCTGGATAAGCGGCCACGTTTTCGTAAGAAACCCCTTAAGCATGGAAATTTTTCTACATAAAATTACAGGACAACAGAAAAGTACAGAAAATTACAAAAAACAGATCTTAAACGAAGGATTGGAACGCAGTTTTGAGAACAAAGAACTCATCACAGGCCTGGTTTCCACGGAGATGCCCCTATATGCACATTGCATATTTATGTATTTTGCATCCAGTATCATGGTGTGGGCTGTGAGGTAAAGTTGTGTTGTAATGGAGGTTAATATTGAAAGATGTTTTTATGACGCCAGCTTATCATGTTATAGTACTTATGCATGTTCCTAAGATTGATTTTTTTTCTCACAGCAAAAATTTGTAGTTACTGGATGTGACTAACTCAAAGGCAGTAAGATCCCGTAATGATTTGCATTTGCGCAAATTGCGATGCTGAAATGTTTCCGAATCCCATTTGGCCACACTGATGTAATGGATTTTATGACAAATTGCATACAGATATGCATGTATGTATACGCGTGCATAGATGCATGCAATACTTGTGATATTACCTACAGCGAACACTCAGTTTCTCGATTCCAGGTGTATGCGCTCAGAGACAGGCAACTCGGGCAGGGTGTGACCATCGAAGCCAGGACGCGGGAAGGGGGTAAGCATGTGTGTCATTGGAGCTTGACGGCGGACTCAGAGGCTGAGGTTATGTAGCGTCACCTGACTCAACCCGGCAGTCCAGAAGGGCACCAAAGCGAATCGAACCCGCGCACCTCTCGTTTTCCAAATGCGGAGAAAGCCAGCGATGCGCCACCGTAGTCCTGACATGGGGGTAGCTAACGTTGGGTAAATGCCATTGGCAGCAGGATAACGGGAGTTCGGGATGTACTTAGAGACTATCTCTATTCCCGAAAGCTTTAAGCGATGGGAGGTATTATACGGCTTGCGAACGTCCGATGAGATGTCCTACGCGGTGTAGGAGGAACAGTGCGATAGCAGGCATGATGCTCAGTTTCCTGCACATAAACAAACTTATGCTTAAAAAACATAGCTAATGGGGCCAGGCTCCTTTCGAACCCCATATCAAAAGCTCAGATCAAGACATTGAAAAGTCTCCCTTTCATGAGAACTAAGAGACGGCGATGTTTAGAAATAGTCTTCGTGCGTTAAAATGCCAACTGTACTGTCTGCAAACATTACATGTCGCAGGGTCTAGCTAATCTGAACAATTCATATTAATTAAATCGATGAATTCGTAACAACGTCTGGTTTCGGTGACTGGTGCTTAAACATGACGAAAATCAAAAAAATTTGGTAAGTATTGGTTACGATGAGCTGGATGTGGCGTATGTGCCGTGACTGCATGAAGCTGCAATCATTAGCTACAAGTCCTTGGTTTCGAACAAGTGTGATACGCCGGACCGAGCCTGGCTGTACCGTTGGAACTGGCAAGACATAATGCCTGTTTGTTTGTCCCATTTATCTGTCATTGACGTTGGTATGATGAGCTGTGCGTTCTATAGCATGCTTTCATCCTATGACACGCGTACGCTGGTCAGTGCGCACACATAGTTTTGGGATCCCGTGCAAATCTGGGAGCACTTCTAATGCGCTGTGGAAACGCGGCTGCGGTCTCTGCACCTGAGCCAACTGTGGAGGCCACGGATCCAGGAGGTCGCAATGCCGATTTCGCCTTTTCATTCCGCATATATGCTGCTGTTTTACATATATGCTAAACCTTCAGTTCGCAAGAGCTTGGATGCATTCCGCTGTCTTGCCTGAATCACTAACACTTAACTGGAAGACCACTAGTTGTCGAAACCAAAATGCTTTAAACTCTTCCGGCTGGCTTTTAATTTGCCTAGAAAGATTTTCCAGAATAACTTTCGAAAAATTAAGTGCAGTCGCGCCAAGCTATGCATAACTGTAGGTAATTGCACGCTGGATTGTTTCATATAAAAATATTCCACGTACCTTGTAACGCCGCTTACCTATGGCAGGTCAGAGTCAGGCGGCAGCTGACATCAAAGACATGAAAGAAGCAAAACAATTGAATTTAAGAGCATGGCAAATTACATTGCCCTACGGTCAGGTATGAGGTCATACCGAAGTCAAAACCGACACATTTTCTTCTTGGGAGCTTGTTTTTCGAGAAATAACCCTGATCAACCCCTTTGATTTTGGGAGCACACGGGATAGCGTAATCCGTAACGCTTCTTCAAACTTGAAAATCAAAATAACATCGGAGATTTTGGTCATCATTACCTTATCAAGGTCATTAAAGGTTATTGGGCTTAAGCGAAGCTACTAAACTTTTACTGACAACAGGTATTCAGGTTTAAAGCAGTTGCATGAGGAGGTGCGACCGCACTTTGGGCACCAATCTTAAGTTTGACTCTTTTTTACCTTATCTGACCCGAAGGTCATGATCTATTAACCTGAAGTTGTAACACAGGTTAGTTCACATGCAGACCAACTAACCCACTGAATTCGGTGTTTCTAGCTGTCTTCTTTTCGAGATCTGAGGTGGGCGTCAGATTGACTCCCACCCGAACAAAGGGCGTTCAACCGGCTACCCGGGTGCATGGCAATGCGCGAGACCATTTTATCACGGTAAACGAGCCGAAGAGAAAAACGACGTTGAACACGTCATGGAATGCATTGCAATATCATCACGGCCTCCTGCACTGCCGGTAGCATGGATGCAATGTTCTAAGAAGAGAAATATGATGTTTTCGTGGGGTCATGTAACACTGGAAGGATGATGTCGACAATAGCCGGCACTAACGATCCTTGCTTCTGACGCCAACGATGTCGCTTCGGCATGATGTGTCATAATGCCGCATGCTTTGACCGAACACGAGCAAGACAGGCATAGAGCCCCTGGTGTTCCGGCATTACGAGTTCAAAGATTTTATCCTGACAGCCATCGGCCTTAAACACGCGTCCGGGTGGTCGGTTAAATACCCTTCGCCCAGGTAGGTGGAGTCAAATTGACCCCCCCTAACTGAGCTTAAAAATAAGTCTCAAAAATCTCAAAATAAGAAACCGAAAGATACTAAATTTATAGAATGGGCTGGCCTGTATGAGCACTCACGTTTGCCAAAATTTGAGATTTCTTGGTCATAGCCTTTTGTTCAAGTGGGTCAAACAATGTAAAATTCCAGAATGATGTCCAAAATGCCCCCAGACCTCCTCACGCAACTGCCTTGAGCCTAGGCACTTCTTGTAAGGAAAAGGTCGCTGTTTTTATTTCAGGTCAGTGACCTTTTTCACCATCGGAAGGCCATGGTGGAAGGCCAAGGCCATGGAAGGCCAAGTCCTATGAGATTGCTTCTGTTTTGACATGGTATTGAATTTAATATTTGTTTACATTGATTTGATATTGTCATTGACATATATTTGACATATTTGACAAGGGTCTAGGACTAAGCTCGGTGGTATGCTCCTACAGCAAAAATGTTGACTAGGTTCATTCCAGGTCAATGACTTGCTATGATCTTATGAATTCAAAGGAATGTATCGGTTGCGGTCCTGTTGTTAATAAACTCGAAATGACCACCAGAAACTACCTCTTTAAGCAAGCTCTCAAGTAACAAAACAGTCTTGTTAGTTTTGACCTTGGTCTGACCTTCGTACGTGATCCTAGATCAATTAAATTTGTTGAAATTATAAATTCAGTTGTTTTGTTTAAGTAACCATCTCAGATATGCATGACTTCATGTAGCCCTGCGTTTTCACATCAGATTGAACTTTTCCCTAGAAATGGCCTTGGCTGACAGGCATCGCCTGACTGATTTGTTATGCAATTGCCTGCAGCTATGCAGAGTTTGCCGGGGTTATGCGGAATTCTTAAATCCTTTTGGAAAAACCTTCGGGGGGTCAAATTGACAGCGCGTGATGATATACCAGGAGTTGTTGCTTAGGCGACGTTATCAAGCAAACATTTAGTATAGTGTCAGTACTCGACGTTTCGGGATGCGCTTAATGAGTGCAGCAATAGGATGCGCTTTGCGAATGTGCGTCGGTCGTTTTTATACCACCATTTCGTCTAAAAAAATCCTGCTTTAAACAAGACGAGAAGACGATTGCTCAGTGACCAATGTTTTCGGTGTTTTGCCATCTGGGCATTACAACACTCAAGTTATCCGGGCTTCATCAATCCTCGCCCTGGTATTGGGGTCGTTGCGACCCCTCCCCTCATGTTTTTATTTTTGCAAATACATCTCCTGTTATTTAATCACTTTTTGCAACTTACGGGGCATCCATTGCGAGTGATGCCAAAAACGAGTTGGTATTTTGACACGTGTTTGACCAAAGACGTGTGTGACACCAAAAAGATGTTCGAAGCTCGTCCGGTTTCGTGATATCAGCGTTTTGTATGGAACGCTGCACGGCGATCTACGGCGTGCCGCGGCCGGCGGGCGGCGACCGACGATGTCGCGGACCGCGCGCGGCGGCCAGCATTGCTACATTAGCCGAGCCCTATATCACTAAGATTTGCTCGAAAAAATAAAAATATACATCATGGTAGCAATAATTGAACACGAAACACGCCTGCCTAGGTTTTGTGCCGCCACGCGGCAAGCCCTTGTATGTATGCTGCTAGCTAGCGCCAAGCTATCACCAATCGTGAGATTTTATGGGACTTATCCACTGGTGTTTTTTGCTAAACTCTATCTTTTTTAGTTTGAAAACGCCAGGGGTTTGCATCGACCCCTCATCAGTCCGCATTATGGTAAACGGCGGATTAGGGCGAGGATTAAAGGGAATGTTCCACATCCGGAGATGCTGAAGCAGGCATCAGAGATGATGAAATGGGCTCACTTATAACTATTGGCATACTTTTAAGTGGAAAAACTGCTCTAGACAACACAATTTCTCTGTTAACCGGCACCCGGCTGGGGGTCTGAGACAACCGTACCCGACCAGGAGGAATTGGCTTCCCCGTAGGATCTCCAACCTCCAGACGCCGCCTGAGAAAAAAAGGTACCATTTTGAAGGTATCGTCAAGTCATGAGGGATGCACACCAAATTTTGACCTTAGGTCAAATGTGAGGCCACTAAAGTCCACGAAAGGTCAAAAACGGTCGTTTGATGTATGTAGTTGAAACCTATGCTAACACGTCAATATTGATATTTAGGGCACGAAAATAGTCGGTAATGCTGTCGGGAGCCCATTCCGACCATTTCTGTTCCTCCACATAGATCAGGTTAGATCAAGTCATCGTTCAAAATGTATGTGCTAATAGCCTACAAGAACGATACTTTTCTTCACAATGTGATCCTGACACAGTTTATTTCATCAGATGCAGCTGTGGGGTAAAAGTGGTTCAGAACAAAAATACCATGTTAGGATGCCCTGGAGGTCATCGGAGGTCAACCTTGGTCAAAATTTAAAAACACCCAAGAGAAGAAATTCGAAGCGCTAGTTGGGTCTATGTGGTCAGTGCTATGTTTGTTTCCTTGCGGTCAGAAAAAGTGTGTGGTACATTTTCAGGTACTCAAGAGCGCATAACTGGCGTTTATATTATCCATAGTCCCTTCGACGCTTGACACTGTATTTGTAAAAAAACAAACAGGCACATTGGTGCATGGAATTAGACGTCATCAGCTTCACAAACACGATAAGGACATAGCTACAAGCCTCACGCTCGTTTATCTAGCTTCTGCGCTACTGGCAACATAGGCCATTGACTTTGGATGACCTCATATGACCTGGCATGTCCTCACATGACCTATTGTTACCTGTTTATGCACACAATCCATATCACAACATGTTCTCATTGAAGTATTATAGTTCTGCGTCCAAAATCATCCCACAAGCAGTCTATTTTGAGCTCAGCATGTGCTTTGCAACGGGAACCCACAGTGATGGGTCATGACCTAGGCCAAAGGTAATGTACCCTGTGGTGACATGATGGGTGTGCATGTAAGTTAGTTTTCTTTGCGAAGAATAGCAAACGTTGTCTTGACTTCAGGTCGCTGACCTCGTATTTTCCGAAAAAAATATGGGATGTGCAAATCGTAGGTTCTGCCATGTTTCATCACTACAACAAGATTAAACAATGGCAAATGATCCACAAAAACTTGATGAGCGTTCAACGTTTTTTGGAAGTTGACCTCTTTGATCTAACCTAGGCCACCCATCTTGGTAGATCAAAACTTCAAACATTCACAAGGGATGCCAAAGTGATAGATAATCGGTCATTAAAACTTTGGTGTTGTCCCGATCATTGGATTTTGACCTGTGCTCTAAAAAAATCTGAAAAACACGTAGGAAGAAGTCAACTTTTTCCTGGATTACTAAATTTGCTTCTCAGTACGTCATTATTTGATACATCATCGTGTCTTTCACAAGATTGATTTAGAGCCAATTAGCGGCCGTTATGCCTGAAAATCGTCCTCACGAATGTGATATATGAACCACTCGTCAATGACAATATTTGACTGGCATTATTATGACGCCATGAATGCCAAGGTGACTTTGAAATGCTCTTCGCGGTATACCTTTCCCCATCTTCGTGGGCGTGTAGCTCAGGAACTAGATGGGCTTAGGTCTTTAAAGGTGCAGGATTGTGAAGAGCACCAAAAAGTTATCAAGATGGCTTTTCAGCTCAAAACCTCATATCAATATGCAACACTCCCCTTAAGTTCCACTTCCCTAGCATCAGGCACCACGCACACTGCATGAACATCCTGGATATTCAGGTTCTCAGGACTCAGTGCTCAACATAGTTGGCATTGGTTTTATTCAACACTGCCAGAAACACAGGATGCTGAGCCCTAAAGTGCCGAGTACCCGTATATAACCCTTACCGAGTAGCATGATAGTCAAGAGTTCGCGAGCTTACGGAACACTAAGTAGGCAGACACGCAGCTGCAGAGAATAGCACAACAGATGCCATCTAAAATATGCATTTTGGTAAGAGATAAAGACAACATGAAATGACATGACATAGACATGAAAATCTTAGAATCGCTGCAGATTCGTAATATTTGTCCGAGGTCGAACACGCAAGGTCAGTATGGACCTGGTTTGGGCAACATTTCTGAGGTAACACACATTTAGAAATGACTCGGACTTCGTTGTGATGAACACCGTGGACCGCGGGTAGCTCATCCTTCTATCATGCTGTTCGGTATGCGTCATCCAAGACACTTCAACTTAGCAGCTTGCGTTTGGGACAGCCCCTAGCAGCGCCGCGTATTGGACGCTAGGACGTGGGAACCTGAATAAAGAAACGGATAATCGTGAGGTTCGTGCAATCTGACCTAATGTTCGGTATGAGTCACGGTAATTCCCACGACTTCACCGCCCGCGTTTCGTGCAGCCCTTAATGTGGGACCCTGTGTTGCCTGCTAGAAGCGGGAGCTCGGGTCATTTGTCATGTTGACATTATTTTGGCGGCGCCTGCAAATATTTGGAAAATGTTCTTGGTTCCTGCGTCTCGTTTTGATATCTTGTTCACTCGCGATTATACGTGCAGCTTGAAACGTCAAGTATCGACAATGTATCCAACATTTCCTTGAGACGGTCATGTAATCAGTACCTTCTGGTATACTGGAGGTCGATAACGGTTGGTATAATAACTCTGAAAACAACATGGTCTGCACCAGTGGCAGTCCGCGAAGAAGCTGACTGCCCAGGTGGCGTGTTGGCCGGCATGCGCGCGTACCCGTGCTACGTGCATGCATGCGTGTTTGTCCAATGACCCACGGTGACAGAGCGGTCCCTATCTCGACAGTGTCCTTATCTCGCAGTGTCGTGTCTCGAGATTGTTCTGACGTCGCAGTGTTGCTTCCGACAGTGTCTTTACATGGCGGCGTTGTGACTATGCACGATCTCGACAGTGCCCTGGCTGTAAAGTGCCGTGTCTCGACAGTCTTCTGGCTTCACAGTGCCGTGACACAGTTTGACACCGTTCATAGTTCGACAGTGCCCCGACTTCGCAGTGCTGCGTCTCGACAGTATCCTGGCGCGCAGTGCTGCGTCTCGACAGTATCCTGGCGCGCAGTGCTGCGTCTCGACAGTATCCTGGCGCGCAGTGCTGCGTCTCAGCAGTGCTTTGACCTTTCAGTACCGTGCGCTGACAATGTCCTGAACTCACAGTGTAATGCCTCGAGTGAGTCCTTACCATACTCTGCCTCGCATGGGCAGTGCCTGGGCCACCGGAACAGCTGGAGATGACGGAACGCACCACGACGACGCTCGGCGTCGCCTGGCGGGAGCCGACCAAAAGAAACGGACGTCTTCTGGCCTTCCAGCTCAACGTGACGCTCGCGCCCGGCCACGCCCGTCGCCGCCGGCGGGAATCTCCCTTCTTTCTCAGCATCGATGTACCGGCACGGCGTGAAGGGAGCCGGGTGGGAGGTATGTACCATCTCTGCATGCGCTCTCTGTGCGCGACATGCCAGCGGCCCGTTGTAGCGAAGTCTGAAACACTGGTTGCGCAAAACGTGTTGTTTACGTGAGGTGATAAAACACATACAGTCGTCAGCGCCTACTTCGGCTGTTTTTCTCTCGTATCTGGTCGCGGCAGCCGTTCAGTGCGGGAGCCCCAGTGACGTGCCGACTCGGCCATCATTCTGACGCCTGGCAGGTAATAACCCACCTCTGACGGTGACGGCGTCGCTCCCTGACAGAGCGGGACCCATACCAGTGGGAGGTGACCGACCTGCGTGCCGGCCGCACCTACCGCGTGGCCGTGGCGGCCAACACGTCGGCCGGGTTCGGCGAGGCGCGCGCTGCCCTGATGGCCACGCAGGTGGCGCCGCCCGGCATCGCCGAGCCGCCCCGCGTGCGGACCGGCCGCAGCACAGCCACCACCGTGGAGCTGGCGCTGCCGACGGCCGACGACACCGGCGGGCCCGTGTCCACCTACTTCGTGGTCGTGTCGACGGACCCGGCCTTCAATGGCTCGCTGCTGTCGCCGCAGCTACTGCCGAACGTGGACGATGACAGCAGCGACGACCTCAGCTTCTACGTGGCTGCGGCCCTGACAAAGGTCGGACGCCGTCACCCTGCCCACCTCTTTCTCATTCTAAGCTTGAAGACTGAGCCCATCAAAAGGTTTTCTATTCTAGATCGGAGCACAACTGGACGCAAAAAGGGATTATCGAACACGTCAGACGTATGATAGTTAAAAATTGTCAATTGTGATCTATATCGGGTGACAGCGTTGGGAGGGGAACGGGTATGTGTGGGTTGTCATTGATGGCATGGTCCACTTTCAGCATGCGTGTGCCTGGTTTCCGATGCTATTTTCGGGGTTTCCACTGAAGGTTTCGTGACAGCAAGGCCCTGTCTAATGCTTCTCATTGGTTCTTTCACAAACAGTGAACCCTAGTTCCTAGTTCTGATTGGCCATTTTGTTAACACGAGGCCCTGGCTCGTGGTTAACACTATTTTTCGCATGAAGTAGGGTCTGACCATCGATTTGTATTGGCTCCTCACAGATGCCAGACTCTCGGTCTCAAACTCAAACTCACTCAAATACCAGACAGTTTCCCCTGTTCTTTCGAAACATTCCATACCATGTTTACTAGCACCCTTTGTTGCTTTCAAAAAAACAAACTATGGTCTTGGATTCCAGTTTTTTACAAGATTTGCATAAATAATGGATCTCTTCTCTGCGAAGGTCGGGCCACCTTCAGGAAACTCCCAAGCTGCAAAAATGGAAGTGGCCGGCATTTCAGTCGAGGTGATCACAGCAATGACTGTGTCGTAGATTTAGGGCTGGAAAGAGTTGTGGAAAAACCTGGGCAACGTACGGAATGATTGAGGGAAAAGGACGATCAGGTTTGTCGGGCTGGCATCATTGGATGGAAAGACTTAACAAGAAACTGCGTAGACAGCATGAGCTCCACGGTCGTTATGGTGTACAACTGCACATTATGTGTCAGCCGCATTTCCATTTGTTGTCTAGCGAATAAGAAATACATCTTGATATGGATATGAACTCGGGTGCAACTAACACACGTGCGGATTATGCCATTTGTATCATTTGTGTTTTATTTATTACTGGGAGCCGACTATTATGTAGTTCAGTATGCTTAAGACACGCAGGCTCTCGTCTTTGGCCAAAGATTCACCTTTCCAGAGTTGACCGATGACATGGAGTCGAGCTTCACCTCGCTTGGCACTTATTTTCAGTCTAGCTGCCTGAAGGTCAACGAGACTAGCTTAGATTTCTCCCTCTTGGCACCAGAAAAAAACACGCACAACTTGCCTCCGTTCGCTGCCAGATTCTGCGTCAAAATCCTGGCCAACTGTGCCGAGAGGCCCAAAATTCCGGTGTCATGTTTGACCGTTATCATGTCCATCAGCTGTCTCCGAGGTGCGCCGTGACCTCGTCCGCCGTCTTCCACCTCCGCCATTATCTGCCTCCTGGTACCTTACCAGCCATCGTGACGATCACGGTTTTCTCACACGTCCACTTTTGTTCGGCAGTGTACGGTAACGGATTCACCAAAGACATAATGGCCGTTCAAAATATTATCAACTTTGTCGCTCGAATTATTTAAGGAAAGCGGAAATTTGGTCACATTTCCGGCGTGCATGAAAGCCTGAGCTGGCTGGACTCTCAGTGTGTTTCTATATAATCTACCAAAGCCTCACTCTGTTACACAAAATCCGCGCTACAGGCGAGTCTGAATCTTAGGTCGCACGGTGTCTTTGTAACCAAGAGCGTCCTTAGTCTGCCCTCCAGTCATGGCACTGCTGCCGAAAAACGGCAGTTCCCATGAGTGGCGAGACGTTTTAATGCGTTACCGCCCGAGTTCTCCACCATGAGTATTGCACAGCCTAAGTCTGCTTTGAAACGTCGGTTAACGGCACGGACCTGCCTGCTGTACCCCCGGCTGTGACCGTTTCATTTTTGTGTGTGCGTGTGTGTGTGTGTGCGCATGTGTACGCGTGATGACGGGTGAAATATACGCCCGACCTACCTCTTATTGCACAAATTGATGTTCTCAAGTGTTCAAACGTACTCCTTTTAGATGGGCCATCACTTTCGTTCGCCCGTTGGCCGCCGCGTAGTGCCAGCCGTGTGGCTGACGCCGCGCGGCATACGGAGACTACAACGCATGACTTGGGGTTTTCGTTTCCAAGACTTGCGAGCGCCCATGTTCAAAACTGCGTTACGTCGCCTACTGGTTCTGACTGAAGATGGAAAATTCCCGGACGAGCATGGGTTGGCCATTCTGATACAAGTTTTAGCCCCAGTTTAAATCGCAATCTACGTTTTTCCTCATTATCTGTGTAGAACCCAGAGCAATTCTGGCAAAGTCCCTGAATGCGATCGGTTTGGGAAAAGTTCACTAAGGAGTAATCGAGTGTGAAGAATCCAATTTCCAACTAAATAACTCCAGTGGTCTGTTTTATGCAGTTATTTAGTTAACGTCGGGCTCCTTCAGTTCAATGACTGCAAAATGCAAACAGAATTGCATATTTCGGAGAGTTCTGGCTCTTGTTTCAGTTAAAAGCCTTAAAATGAAACAAATAAAACCGTGTCATCTCAAAATCAAATGGTACATATGCGATGATTTTCTTCCGGAGGGAGATGGGGGGGGGGGGGTCACCATCAGGGGCCCTGTGTCAACCGTGCACCCCCTCACCAAAGCTCTTGCTGCACCCCTGATAAAACCACTGGAGCAGCTGCGATTCCGTTCCAGGAACGTGTGAATCGCGACAGCACGTTCATTGTGGGCGATGGCCTATACTACAACAGCTCGGAGAGGCACTACCACAACCGACCACTGACTGCCGGCACCAGCTACCGGATGGGGGTGGCCGTGCTGTCTCGCTTGTCGGATGACAACCAGGAGCTGGCTTTCCGACTGGTGGACGACGCTGTCACCGTCGCCGAGCCGAGCGGTGTGTTCCGGAAGGCCGCGCCTCCGCGCAGACAGTACAGCGGTGCAACACGCAGTCGTAGCCAATCTCGGACAATCGGCTGTAGCAGGCCTGGCGATGAGACAGATAATCACAGAACTATGATACCCAGGCAGACGAACAGCGGCTGCACATCACATTGTCGGTGTCGGTGCACGTAACGTTAGGGCTAACAGTCTGTTACGACAGCCAGCTAACAGGCAGATGTGGAGTTGATTGGGCAGGTAATGTTGCTGCCGTCATTGAACACTGCTGCGTGTGTTGAGGCGCAGGCGCGCTTGCTCATTAAAGCGTGCATACTTTTGAGTGTTGCGGCGTACGCTCGGTGTATGCTGAAGATGTGTGGTGCATTGGCACATAGCGCACAGGTTAATTTGATGTGCTAATTTTCCCGTTGTCACGTGTGCTGAGTGTTGTTTCCATCTTTTCATCGCTTTGAATCGTGCCTTTTTCTTGGTTTATCATTTTACGTCATTTAGGTCAAGAGGTCTAAACCAACTTATTCAACCTGCGAGAAATGTCCAGAGCCATAGGAATAGTGATATGTTCCAAGATATGAAGACCCATTTAGTTCAGCATGCAGGAAACATCCAGGGTTAACGAAACAGTATCTCACAACTTATTCTCTGAGTAGTTGCATGTCTGCTTAACGTTTACATAGAAAACGAAGCAAAAAATCAGCACAGCCTTATTGCTCGGCTCCCCACGACTCCTAACTGTCCAGATCTCTTTAACAACACCATACCGTTAGCAACGAAACACCCATCATCACGCATTTCAAGCGGCCGTAATGAGTGGATTTTCGTCTGAACCAGCTTGCATGGCTGCCGCTCTCCCACAGACGCCGGGCTGGTGGCTGGAGTGATCATTGCCCTGATTCTTCTGTCGCTTCTTGCAGTAGTCGGCGTCATTGTCTACCGGTATGTGAAGTGAAATGCAATGCCTTTTGCGGTCTGAAGATCATCGATTTACGTAACCTGAAGCCTTGCGTGCACGCTTTTCCGCCATTATATATTCCACTATCTTAGAACCTAGGAGATGTTGATCTCAGCTGTAGTCACGCTTTTTTTTAGCTCAAAACACTGATATGTTTGGACTATTATGTTGAGGTATTGCGAAGTGTTGTGTATCGCTGACCCAGCATTATCCCGTCCCAGATAGGAAAAAAGATCGATGTGCCCTCCAAAGGTTTTTTGCCGATAGATTCCTGGTATGGCGTTTGATAGCACTCAATTTTCCGTAGCTACTAGGGCATTCCCTGAGAGTGTGTTCTAATACTTCTGATTCCGAATGAGTACCATTTTTATTAGGATCACTGCACAGCCTACTGCCGCTCTGATGGCCACCGGCAGCTGACATATACCCCGACGACAGGAGGCGACGACGGCGCTATGCCATTTCGGGATCCCACGCCATCACTTTTTGCTTAAAGCATAAAATAGATGGTTAATTCATCATGGTGCAATTATTTGATTATGTGCTTATCGCACGCAGACTGCGTGACACTATTTTTTAGTATTCAGTAAGGATTACGTTTTTATGATTTAATTATTGGTGCGTTGCATAGCTTTGTAAAGATCGACATATCGCATGAAGGTAGTCTGATTTCCTGGACAAAAAACGTTGACCTGGTCTAGTGGGATAAAATATTCACCTAGGAGCACTAAAATTATGCCAGCTGTTAACAATTCCAAAAATAACTGCCTCCATTCTCCATCCTTCTCAGTTGGAAAATAACATGTGGGGTGCATAAACACCCCACCCCCACCCCACTCTATCCGTTCGCGTTATGAAAAACGGTGAATCCAGACAAAGGTTAAGCACCCTACGCCGTCTGATGACGTGATGTCCACCTTCGCGTGCTGCAACTTGTGCTCGATAAAACGACGGCGCATGTGCCACAGGAGGCGGAACAAACAGCACGCGCTGCCCGAGGATCAGCAACAAAATGCAGGTAGTTGGCAGGTGTCGCTTTGTACAGTGATGGGAAACGCTTTATGGGTATGCCTCTGTCACTTCATGTGTTGTGGGAAACACAACTATCTTCCCTTGGGTTTGTCGTAATCGCTTGTGCATTGACTTCGACGGGAGAAAAAATGAGTATGAATACTACACGGTTGCAATAGCCCTTTCTCATACAGGTCTAAGCGCTCTTTTTAAGCGAACGCGACGCACGTTGTCGCGCCCCTCATATGGAGGGCCAGCAACAGCGTATGCCATATTAGCGCCTAGGGGTCATGTCGCAGCCGGGATCGAACCCGATCCCCCACGTGGACGTCCGCCGGGGCAACCACTCGGTCATCATCCCCCCTAGGCTCAATTTTTACCGGTCAGTCTTGTGTTTTTCGGCTAACTCGAGCAAATGTCCACACGATCGTTCCCGTTCCTCGTCACTTATGATAACTGAGGTTGTGTTTTGCAGTGAGAATGCCCCTCGAGCCAGTGCTTAACGGGACGTATGAAGGGCAGGGAGAAGTACTTGACACTGATGATGTCGAGGAGGTCGTCTACGAAAATCTCCAGGTCCGTACAATGATTACGCCTAACGTGGTGAGGCGCCGTCGTTAAACAGCTTCCCTGCAGCACACGCCGCAGAGATTTGGCTGCCCACCCGACTCTGCGTCTCAAGCTTGCCAACTTCTTTGTTACGCCTGTCTGCTATGGATTTCCTTTTCACACAGATGGCGCGTTGGTAATAAAAATATGAGCTGGAGTGGTGCTCTTCAAAAGCATTATTTACTGTTTGAATCAGCCCGATCAGTAGATTGGTTCCGGAGACACTAGAAGGAACGGTGGGAGGCCCATTCTTACCCCGTTTCAGACATTGGAGGGTGGGAAGTACGCTAGCAAACGCAAAGCTAGTACAACGGTTATCTACTCAAAGCCATGTAGTCAAAAGCAGGAGCCGATCTGCGCTTTTGCAAGTCGTTGCTTTCTTCTTCAAAGATATTCAAGCCGCTAACAATCCTGTTTGCTCACTGTGCCGGCAGCCCGGTCAGATAAACCTCACTCGAATAGAAGTCAAGAATTTGCCGCAGCTAGCCAGAAGTGGCGACGAGTCGGGTGTCTTCAAGGCTCAGATGAAAAGCCTGCCCCGAGGCCTGGTCAGCCCCTACGAGTGCGGTCGACAGACTGTAAACAGGGGCAAGAATAGATATGTAAATATGATCGCCTGTAAGTATGCGTGTTTTTTGTTTGTTCGTTTGTTGTTTTTTAATAAATGCAGCCTCGTTGAACCTCTTAGGCGGTCTTAGAATGGTAGTTGTACTTATGATGCCTTCTCCACGATATCTTAACAGCTGCTCTGATGTAGCGGCGCTCACCGTCGTCGGCTTTTAGCCTGCTGGACACGCATCAGCATGGGCGTAACTGTACGGGTTGCGAGACATGTGCCCTCAGTTGTTACAGGGCGACCTTGTGCGCTGTAATTTTTTCCCATACATCATCCGTGTTAATAAATCGCACCAATGATTTGCCCCCCAATCTCAGCGACGAGACGAGGTCACACCCACGCGTATAAGTGTCCGACTTGGGTACTTGTATAGAATTGGTGGACTTTCTTGAAGAAGAAGCAGGCAGTCCATCTTTCTTTAATCGATTACGTAATTCTTTTGTGTTCTGATTGGTGTGGCTGTCGCTTTGCGTGACTTGTATGTGACTGTCTCATGTGCATAAGCCGTCTGGACTGTAGAGATATCGTCAGCCAGTGGTGATAGGCATCTAATATTGACTAGTAAAACACAGATGATGGTGAAATCCCAATTTTTCCCGAATAAAGCCCCAAAAAGTCCATTTTTGTCGCACCATTTTGTCCTTGCTAAGCCTTGAGGAAGGGTTTGTTTGCGTGGATACGGGAAGGCAGTGTTCCTTTGGTCCCCCGTTGGTTTGCATGTATCGGGGGACTGATGTCGTGCCGTCTTGCATTACCACACAGCCACTAGTGGTACACATCTCCTTACCTTATTGGAAAGACATGAGCGACCTTGCATTATGTTGAAAAAAGGCAATGGCCACACAGAACTTGTGAGTCCGGCATTCTACGATAACTTGTAAAATTGCTGAAGTGACAAGAAACTGCTTTGGTGGCAAGATCTCTTTGCAATCCCGGCTGTACCCATTTCGTGCCCTGCTTCCAGATGTTTCCGATTGCTTCATTTTGATCACTCTTATTTCAGACGACGAGTCGCGAGTTGTTCTTGAGAAGTTAGAAGGCGATGAGCATTCCGACTACATCAATGCGAATTACGTCGACGTAAGTCATTACAGTCCACGCGTGTACGTATGCGTACAGAATTGCATGAACTGGTCTGGTTGTTCATGGTGTAAATCACAACGCCTGAACGGAAAAAGTGAAGCTCCATTTCACGGGATGCGCGCTGAAGTTTAAAGCATGAGATGAGCCGTCTTTGGTATGCACACTATGTTAAAGCTTTCCGTGACTTTCGTTGTGACCAGTACGAGCTTGTGAGTTTTGGCAGTGCGATAAACCTGTGGGGGTTTTGAATTGACCACCCAAACTCACCAGAACAAATGAGCTGAATAGTGAAAGAAATTCGATACCATAATCTACGCTATATGTCAAGACAGCAAAATGTGCACCGCCGTGCAGTGTGGTAACACTGTTTAACAAGTGTTAAGCCACGTCAAACGTATTTAAACCATTTGTGTTATAGCTAGAAACACTTGCTGAAAGTATTGCTCTGCCGCATTATATGCTGCTACCACATGCAATTTCAAAGATCTGGACAGCCGAATCACGTTTCACGAATCAAGCTGGGGAAAAAGAATCGCAGCCCATGACAAAACGGTTACTAATCGTCAATAAGATTGATTGAAAGCCGGTATATTATATATATATATATATATATATATATATATATATATATATATATATGTGTGTGTGTGTGTGTGTGTGTATAAATATACATATATGTATATATTTTTATTATTAATAAGAATTTAACTTACAAATTTTAATTGTAACGCCCCAAAAATTCACTCCATATAGGCAAGAAAAGTCTTCAGCTCCTACTTAGCATTGAATTCAGCGCTCTTCTGTTAAGTTATCGGCCTCCAATACGCCTCGAAATGCTGGCTGAACGACTGATATACTGAAGGTCGATAGCTCAGCGCAAGAACTCTAAACTCACGGCGCCAGAAAGTAGCGTTGATTGTCTTCCAACTGAACTAAAAATGCAAAACAAGCTACGTGCTGTTCCGTGTCTTTGAAGGAAGGCTGTGGCGTCCGGCTTTAGAGTTTTAATATATTTTTTTGCATTTAAACACTATTTGCAACCACTTACGCCACCCCTCTATGCGTAAAGGAATGTACGGCGACCCATCACCAGTGCACACATCAACCGTGCACACATGCACCGTTGTGCGTTGTGCGCCACTTATAGTCTTTTTCACGATGGCCCAGGGCTATAAGCGTCCTCGAGCGTACATCGCCACCCAAGGGCCGCGGAAGGAGACCGTGTTCGACTTCTGGAGAATGATATGGCAGGACAAGGTGCGGAGAATCGTCATGCTGACCAACCTGGTGGAAGACGGCAAGCGAAAATGTGATTTGTACTGGCCCGAAAGCGAACCTCTGCAGCTGCCTGCCATGACCATCCGGAGGGAGAGCGAAACCATTTTCGCGAGCTACTGCATCCGAACATTTTCGGTTGCGGTTGGCAATAACACGAGAACGGTAAGCCCGCCAGCCTGTCTCACTACAGTGCATCGCTGCTTTCCGATCTAAATCGATGTTCGCGGTTGACTGTTTCGTAGGTAGCGGCGCGATTGGCGGTGATTGTATGCATGAGGTTGATCTGTTTCTTGACGGCCAAACATCCCACCAGATGTGACCGCACTCTCCGCTCTGGGATTTTGCGATGTTCCGCACCGTCCTGAGCCCAACTGAGAGAACTTTGATTCGAAAGCGGGCATGGCGGCGCCTGATCTATTGTTCTATGTAGTATCGTTGACTTCGCTACAGGTAACCCAGCTGCACTACACCGCCTGGCCGGACCACAGCGTACCAATGTACCCCGACTCGCTGGCTAAGTTCGTGCGGGCGATGGACGGCGTATCCGATGGTCAGGCACCCACCGTGGTACATTGCAGGTATGTGTCCGATGGCCAGACAGCCACCGTGGGACACTGCGGGTATGTGTCCGATAGCCAGACAGCCACCGTGGGACACTGCGGGTATGTGTCCGGTGGCCAGACAGCCACCGTGGGACACTGCGGGTATGTGTCCGGTGGCCAGACAGCCAACGTGGGACACTGCAGGTATGTGTCCGATGGCCAGACAGCCAACGTGGGACACTGCGGGTATGTGTCCGATAGCCAGACAGCCATCGTGGGACACTGCAGGTATGTGTCCGATGGTCAGGCACCCACCGTGGTACACTGCGTGTATGTGTCCGATAGCCAGACAGCCACCGTGGGACACTGCTGGTATGTGTCCGATGGCCAGACAGCCACCGTGGTACACTGCAGGTATGTGTCCGATGGCCAGACAGCCACCGTGGGACACTGCGGGTATGTGTCCGATAGCCAGACAGCCATCGTGGGACACTGCAGGTATGTGTCCGATGGCCAGACGTCCAACGATGTACACCGCGGGTTTGTGTCCGATGGGCAGACAGCCACCGCGGGACGCTGCGGGTATGTGTCCGACGGTCAGGCACCCACCGTGGTACACTGCGGGTATGTGTCCGATGGCCAGACAGCCACCGCGGGACACTGCGGGTATGTGTCCGATGGCCGGACGTCCAAGCGGTGTACACCGCGGGTTTGTGTCCGATGGGCAGACAGCCACCGTGGTACACTGCGGGTATGTGTCCGATGGTCAGGCACCCACCGTGGTACACTGCGGGTATGTGTCCGATGGCCAGACAGCCACCGTGGGACACTGCGGGTATGTGTCCGATGGCCGGACGTCCAACGGTGTACACCGCGGGTTTGTGTCCGATAGTCAGGCACCCACCGTGGTACACCGCGGGTTTGTGTCCGATGGTCAGGCACCCACCGTGGTACACCGCGGGTTTGTGTCCGATGGTCAGGCACCCACCGTGGTACACTGCGGGTATGTGTCCGATAGCCAGACAGCCACCGTGGGACACTGCTGGTATGTGTCCGATGGCCAGACAGCCACCGTGGTACACTGCGGGTATGTGTCCGATGGCCAGACAGCCACCGTGGGACACTGCGGGTATGTGTCCGATAGTCAGGCACCCACCGTGGTACACTGCGGGTATGTGTCCGATGGTCAGGCACCCACCGTGGTACACTGCGGGTATGTGTCCGATGGTCAGGCACCCACCGTGGTACACTACAGGTATGTGGGCCCTTATCGCATGTCCCGAGTCCGTAGACCAGTTGGTTATATAATGCAAAAAAGAGTGTACCTTCGTGCGTGCAAAGTGCTTCAAGTCGGTGCTTGAATCAGAAGGCAGCCCAAGACACAAAATAAAAATATTATTGTGAAGGGGTATTAACAAACATAATTTCGGGGCCCTGTAACTTTTATTTTTAAAAGACACACAATTCCAGGCGCAGCGTTGAGACCCCTAAAACCTCCACGTTCGAGAGGCACCGAAGTCCAGGGGCACCACAATGTCCGTGATTCTCCATTGACAAAATCCTGGATTGACTCATTCGACAAGGGGCACCAGAACTTTAGTTTCGGGGCACCAGAAATTGTATTTTCAAGAGACACCCAATTCCAGGAGGCACCATGCAGAGTCCCACAATATTCATTTTGTCAGAGGTAATAAATTCTGGAGACACCATAAAGGCTGCCAGATCTGCATTTTCACGAAGAACCCAATTCTAATACCGCCAACATCAGGCGCGCTCGGAGAGGGGGGGGAGGTACGTGCTTCCCTTAAGTCCAAGGCCCCGAAGGGCATTTTGGGCCACTTGGAAATGACGACCAACGGTCCGATTGGAAGGCGAGAGGGGCAGACTGGAGCTGATATCAACACGTGCTCGGGGTAGGGGTCAATGCGATCCCCCCCCCCCCAAATCGTGTGTTGGGAATGAGCCCGAACGGCGCGACGTGGCCGTGGCAAACCTTCCATGGCTGTAGACAATTGGATAGTAGATTGCTTGGTATCGCAAATTTAGTTGTACCTTGTGAGCTCACTGACCTGCGGCAGATCAAAGTCCAGGAACTGCACGGCCTACAGCAGTCGATGCGCCCCAAACCCCAAATCATCATCATCAGGTCAAAGTCGGGCCATGGATTCATCGAAGACAACTTCTAGGAAATCTTACGATATGATGCAACAACGGAGTGATGGCCGAAGCCATACATCTCTGCGATGGTTTTTAGGCAACACAACAATTGGAATAAGGAATTATGTTGACCTAGAGACAGGTATGAAGGTCAGACAAAGGAAAAACACACCTTTTTTACTTCAGGACTGTTGTGTGGGGCGGTTTTTTGTGCTCCATGACCTTTGAAAAGTCACGCAAGGTCACGGACGTTAAACGAGCAGCAGTGATCTTTTGCTTACAGCAGGTATCTAGGTTCACTGTGGTTGCATGAAAAGGCCTGGGGACGCTTTGGACACTAATCTGGAGTTTAACATTGCCCGATCTTATTTTACCCAAAGGTCATGAACTAGAAACCCAAAATTTTGAAACAAATAAGCTCACGTATAGACTAACACACACTGTGAATTTTATATCTTTAGCTTTGGGATTCTAAAAAAGAATGAGCATCTCCAGGCGAACATTGTTTGGAAATATTAGAACAAATATTTGCCCCGTTTCGGCATGCCCACGGGGCCCCTATATATGTTTGTAAAAGACAGAGAAAATTCAGCATCGCCCCTGACTGTTGTCGGTTTAGAGAGTGCCAATTAAACCATCTTTTTAAAGTAATTAGCGTCCGCGACTTATTCCATGTTTTCATTTAACTTTGGGTTAAGTTCATTTCGTTGAATTTTAATACATGCATAATTACATCTTCTGGTACCATCTGGCTTCTATTTCAGCCACAGGAAGGAGCAATTCGGAAAGTTGATCGCGTGAAGTACAGCGGGCAAAATCCGGCGGATCACTTTTCAGAGTCTGAGGGGTTGTATTTTATGCTGCCTTTCCACCAGCAGCGGCCATTCGTTACAGCGATGCTGCTCTATACCGAGACTAGCCCGCGCCCCTGGCCATAATGTTTGGATCCAACGGAGAGCTGGCCTTCCCCTCCCATGATGCCCGCATTTATTCTTCTCATTTTGACACCATAGACTGGTTCTGCCATAACGATAGCAATCAACGCATGTTGTAGATTGGATAATGCGGTGAGATCCATTGCCATTGACCATATATATATATATATATATATATATATATATATATATATATATATATATATATATATATATATATATATATGTACGTATAGAAATAATAGAAACGTGATGGCAAGGACAGCAGTTGTTATTATTTCTGCCATTTTTCAAGGTTTTTATACATTGTGTATCATCATGAGGACAAGGTACATTCAACCGATACCGCTAGGCATGGCAACGGCCGGTCAACACCATTCAACAGCATCTCTCTGCGTATGAACAGGACGGTCTGAAACATATAGAAATCACGCGACGAAATATCTTGACTCCGTATGAAAGCAGCTACCTTATGATTTGCAAAGGATACGCGGACCTGGTGGTATTCAGTGGCGGCTTTTTTGGTGAATATCAAGTGATTCTAAAACCATAAGATCGAGAGAATTGCTGCAACGCCATAATATGGAACAGTTTTTAATGTTAAAGCGACTGTCACGCGCAAATGAATGGTCTCGGATGGGCGAAGCGCCCGAGTTAGGCAGAAGGCTACCTGTGCGGTCAGTCCCTTCCAAATGTTGCCGCACTCTGCAACGCAAACAACGAAGGTTTGAACTCACGCGACATGTCCCACACGAAGTACAAATGGTCCTACGGGTAACCGTAGTGTATCGTACTGTAGCCGTATTGTACCGTAGCTCTGCGGTAGCCGCTTCTGACTTATACATTGCTGGAGTCAGATTTATCAGTTCTAATGTGACCAGTGTTTGTACGCCCTCGTGATGATCAAAACACGCAGCACACGGGTTGACAACATTCGTAGTCCCTCGTAATACTGAAGCATATAGCACAGGATGTGCTCATTCATATACTACCGACATAAAATGTTTTACATCGGCCCTATGACTTAGTTTGCTTTACAACCAACAAGTACATCGCTTCAGTCTACGACTTTTACCGATCTCGCTGAATTCTGCCACCACCACCAGCCTTTCTATATCGCGCCACCCGACGCCGTCTGAGCCATGGTGATTTGGCATGCGTTTACAAGTTACTGTTTTTGCTCTTAACCATTCGCTTTAAGGTCAGAGACCCGTAAAATTGAGCTCTCTGCTGGTTTCGTGCCACGTAAGTTAGCGAAAGCCAGTCATTTGAGTCGTGTTGTCATGCCTGACTACGATGGTGTTCAGCAGTCAACTTTAACCCATTTGATCATATGGTCTCCGAAATGAAAAACAACACAAAAATATCTGAATGGTAGAATCCACCAAGCCCTGGAGAAGATGACTATGCGCCACGTACCTACCTATTTTGCTTAGTCCTCCACGATGCGCAGGGGAGTTTTTCGGAATAGCTACAAAGAATATGACAATAAAAAGGCCGAAACCCTGGGACATTCTTCGTGAGGAAAAGGAAGACATCGAGTTGCTAGGAACATCGCAGTTAAGGGTGGTCCCTCGCTTGACGAGATGCGGTACCCCCCCCCCCCCCCCCTGGTCAGAGCTCCTAGATGGAAACATCAAATCACATCGGACGTGAGCCGGGCCCAGGCTGTTCATCTCGAAACACGAAACTATGTAAGAATGAATCACATAGCACTGCACGTTGAAGACAGCACGTTCTTTGCCGTTCTAGAAAGCGCAGTTGCGACGTGGCAGTGGTCCCCACCAATCTGACGTCGCCGCTCCATTCCACTGAAGCCGCCGCCGACCGCACCGTCTCTCGCGCTTTGCCGCAGCGCCGGCGTCGGTCGCACCGGCACCGTGATCCTGATCGACGCCATGCACCAGATGGGCCGCCGCGAGCAGGCCGTCGACGTGTGTTCGCACCTGGCCGTGATGCGTCGACAGCGCGCCAACCTGTGCGCCAACTGTCAGCAGTACGAGCTGGTGCACCAGGTGCTAGTGCAGCTGCTGGCCGCGCCGGACTCGGCGGTGCCGGCCGCCCAGCTGGTGGAACGGCTGGTGGAGCTCAGGTCGCGAACCGACGGTGGTCCCAGCGGCCTGCAGCGTCAGCTTCGCTTCCTGGACGACACCAGACCGACGGCCACCTACGCCATGGCGCAGGCGGAGCGGCTGGACGGCAAGAACAGGACGCCGGACGTGCTGCCAGGTGAGGGCACACGAAAGCAGCTCCGCGCTGCCAGGTATCACACTTTAGCAGCTCCGTGGTGCCAGGTGATGTCACGCTTCAGCAGCTCTGCGCTGCCAGGTGTCACACTTTAGCAGCTCCGTGCTGCCAGGTGTCACACTTCAGAAGCTCCGTGCTGCCAGGTGATGTCACACTTCAGCAGCTCCGCGCTGCCAGGTGTCACACTTTAGCAGCTCCGCCATGCTGGGGACTTGCTGCTGCCGCACCGCACATTCTTCTGCTTCCGCTGCAAGTGCTACGACGATCCTTTTGTAATTGCTGCTGCATATTTGACTTATCTTTGTTGATCGAATTTTTGCTGGCAGCTTTTGTCAGCAGTCCAGTGATTTTTCCAATTGACGATAATGGGGAAACACGTAAGCCATATGCCGCCAGGAGTGAATCCTTCCCAGGCCGCAAGCCTTTTGTGTGTGACTTCTGGGCTGTTTGAGGTAATTGCATGGAGTGTCGGCACATTTTCAGACATCACAGATACCTAAGCACAATATTGGAGTTGCTTGCTACATGAGTAGCCTCTGACGTGCTACGATGGTGAAATTGGCTACAATGATAAGTTTATGATATTCAGGTTGAAGGAATACTGAGCTGATGCGACTTGCGTCCACGACCTATTGATGTTCACGATCCTGTTCTCGCAGTTTGGCCGATTGCCGCACGCTCAACCATTGTCTTTGGATCACCAACACCAGTTTGCGGTAATATGAGACAACCTGTAACTAATACGTGCGCAGTTTATATAGTTCCGCGGTTTCCTATCATTTGCCTCGGGTTATGTGCTAACCGACCCACACCGCTTCAGCGGACCGCAGTCGCGTGTTCCTGGACCCATCGATGCCCGACAACTACGTCAACGCTGTTTACGTGTCTGGCTTCAAGAAGGAAGACGCATTCATTGCAACAGAGGCACCCCTGCCTGGAAGAGCCGTCATCTTCTGGCAGATGGTGGTCCAGAAACGCTCCAAGACAATTGTGGTCATGAATGATCTGACCGAAAAGGATGTAAGCATACTCAGTGGTGTTCTGCTCCGAGGAAGGAACCCGCATGTCGCACTTAACATTTCTCTGTGACGTTTGACGTGTTACATAAAGTTGCATTATCATCATACCATGTGCGCAACTGCTAACCATAAATGCACCCAAAAGAGGTCACCGGGAAAACAGGAAGCTTCGTTCATGTGCTACGTCATGCGGCTACCTTTACACGAAGCGTAATTGTAACCAATCAGATTTTTTAAATCAATCTGACATGACAAATTCAAAGCCAGTCCTTGACACAATAACTAGTTCTTGCCCTTTGGTTGCATTCGTCGGGGAAGTTTGCATGCGGCTTTGTCACCATTGTAGTAGAAACATGAAGTGTCCATAATCACTGATTCGGTGTCACGTCTTACTCATGCTGTCAGTTTCGTGTGAATCGGATCCAATGTAAAGGGTAGATATATTTTCAGAACGTGCTTGCCCTGGATGTGCATCTCCCGAACGACAGTAGCCATTAATGGTGGAACGAGTATGACTTTGCATGCGTTTGACAATGTGTTTAGAGGAAAGTTAAAAGCTTACAACCCTTGAATGGCTGAAGGCTGAAAGTTCGTTGGTCATCTTGGCGTGTTAAAAATGTCCAAGGTAAACTATTGACATGCGGTTGATCATCTTCATTCTCATGGCATGGTTTGTAGATAACATTGCATCTTATCATACCAGAAGTGTCACGCAGTTTCTGCGCCCAGGTGTTTTGGCCCAGCCCTGGAGAGACACGGATCTACCGCGACCTGGTGGTTGAGAGCGAGGCTGTATCTGAGACCGGGCTGGTGGTCACCGTCAACATCGAGCTGAAGCATTTTGAGGGCGGCAAGGTAATTTACAGAGCAACTGAGTTGTTCGATGGCTCCAGGTTAAGCGAACGTTGAAATCACTGGGTGCGCTCGATAGATCCCTTTGACTCGTTGATTACCCTGGCATTGTGGTTTTTGGGGAAAATAAGTCCGACGTAATCTTTTGGGAACTAATGTGGTTGGACCTAGCAGAATAATTTTCTTATGACATTTTTCTAGGTCACCAAATTCCGAGCGGATGCCTGTTTTTGTCTGTCTGTCTGTGATCATTATTCAGCCAGACGCACAGCGCGGACGTGTGCAAAGAGTGCCGTGAAATTTTGCCTATACGACGGGCTAAACCTCAGTGGTGATTCGAGACGTAATTTCACGTCAGTCCAGTACCGGCGTCAGTCACAATGCGCATCAAAGCGGGGCATGGCCGTTTGTGGTATTTAGAAATGAGGCTTTTTCGGGTATGTAAGAGAAAGGAACTGTGCAAATGGGAACCGCAACACAGCTTCAAGAACGAGCAATATTAGGCTCTCACACGTAAGGGGCTGTTAATTGACATAGACACTGAAATCGCGAACAAGCATGTGCAAGACACGCTGTGTATAAGTCAGGTGGGAGCCAACTTGTTATGGCTGGAGGCGGTGCTGTGCCGACGCCAACAGTACCGGCTGGTCGCGTGGCAAAGCAAACAAGGACCACAACTAAGTTATATACATATATATATATATATATATATATATATATATATATATATATATATACATATGTGTGTATATATAAAATGTTCCTAGAGCACAAAAGAGAACTGCACGAGTGCTTGTATGAGTGATCAATGGGTGTTAAATAGCTTACAAATATTAACTCAGACGTTGCCAATAGGGCTACAGGAGCTATCACCCCCGCTCCCCGAGTCATGATGTTTACGTTAGACACTGAGGGATTTAGTAGCTAATCGCGTCGCCTCTTTGCGTAGCGATGGGGGCGGGAGCCTCTTTTGTGATCTAATTCACTTATTTTCGAGTATACTTCTCTGTCTGTCTGTCTATTTGTATTTGTTTAGCCTGACACACAGCACAGATGGCTGCGCGCATTGCCACGAAATTTGTGCAAACGACTGGTTACACCCTTGAGGCAATCCATGCCGCCATCTCAGGCCGCACAATACCAGTGTCGATCACTGCGTGCGTGAAAGGGGTGCGTGTTCTAGCGTTTATCACGCGACACTCTCCTATGTGTGGAAAAAAACATGTTGCGGAACGCTAAGGCGCTGAAAACGCGCCGAACGTGAATCATTCTGATGTGGCTGAGGGCGGCACCATACCAACGCAAAGCAAGCGCAGCGAAGCAGGCGGGGGCGACAACTCAGTTATCTCTGTGATGCCATGGGTGTGTGGAGCAGCATTGCACGGGTTCTTGGCCTGGGTGATTGTTCACGTCGCTGAGGTACGAGCTAATGATGTGTCGCGGGTGGTGTCTCCATTGGTGTCAACAGTGTCGCCCATTCGCGCAGAGGAGCAAGGGAGGATCGCTAGTGAAAAACCTAACGCCAGCAGAAAGTTATGGCGAAGAAAAGCGAGTTTAGCCCTAACCAGTGGCGACGCCAGCCCTGTGGGGTAGGTTAGGCATTGAAGTGAGATCCGGCTATCCGGGCAAATCCATGGCTATGGTCAATGACGTTTTTCCCTTTTCACGTGCTCCTCAATCGAGGTTTGTATCTATGACTTGCATGCGCCTCTCACCCGTATCAACGCCGCAAAAGTGAGGGTGGTGATGTCAAGCAGATAGGCAGAAAAGGCCAATCTCCAGTTGAGATAGTGGCGGAATGCTGGCAGGCATCCTACATTGCTTAAGTTTTCCGGGCTAGGCAGGCCATGTTTATGTTCAGGCCAGGTTATAAAGAGCTAAACGACATATGCAAGCTATCATAGAAAAGTTCAGGGCAAAATTTTGACGTAGCGTTGGTGATTATAGGTTTGAAGAACTCTTGGCTATCAAATACGTTGAAGTGTGTCGTAGCAAACGAATATTTACCACCATTTAAGGCTATGGAATGCTCTTAAAAAGATGGTGTTTGGTAGCTGGTGAAGGACGATCTTGTAGATTTTGTATGGTGTTTGGTAGCTGGTGAAGGACGATCTTGTAGATTTTGTATGGGGGGTATCAAAAGTGCCGCAGCTGAGAGATACCAGACATATTACCGCCCGCTTTTCACCGGTCGACATGACACCGCTTGTTTCCTTTCCACGCAGCCCTCTCCTGGCACTACCCGCCGCCGTTCTTTACCAGCTACCAAACACGCAATGAATATATCAGTAATCTCAGCGATGCTATGCGAGACTGCATCGCTCTTTTAGCCAAGGCCTTTTGCTACTTGTCTCACTAGCAATGTGTTTTTTTTTTGTGTGGCGTTTTCCTTTACTTTTGCAGTGTTCCATGCCCTGTGGCTGGAATCGATTACTAAGCAACGTGATGAGCTGATTCCTGAAGAATCAGCTTGAATTGACCTGAATGGCTGCGGGCAGGCACTTGCTGACTGGCGAAGCCTGGCAGAGTTGACATGTGGCATGGCTGTCGGTTGACACACGCTTGTCCGGCCGACAGGTGGCCGCGAAGCAGAGCGTGCAGCTGCTGCTGCTGGCAGGCGGCAACGGTACGGTCTCGGCCGACCACCTGGTCCAGCTGCACGACGCCTTCGCACGCATAGCGGCTAAACATGCTGCCGGCCCCACCGTGGTCGTCTGCAGGTCAGCGTGACGACGCTAGGTCGCGTCGCGCCACCGCCGCACCAGGTTACGCCCGAAAGCCGGCAAGCCGCGACCAACTTTGATTCGGCCCATAGCATTGAACTTTTCCACCGAAGATGGCTCCTGGCAGGAAGCTGGAAATCCGCGTGATGCGTTCTTGCTGAGGTTGCCCCCCTCCCTCTCCTCAAGAAAACTCGAGCTGCATCTTTTCTGCCCGGTCATCATCATCACCTATCTAACCCGGTCAGCTGTGTCTGTGCGGGGTATTCCACTTATATTCTGAAAACCGTCCATCTACCTCACGCTTCCATTCATTGACTTGAATTTTACATATCAGTGTCTGACTTCGTGGCAACCACGCTTGTGCGGGGTTCCCAATTTTGGTCCCTGGTTCCCACTGGTTTCTTCGACAAGATAAGACCCTGGACATCTTCTACCTCATCATCTGACCTTGACTTTGACCTTGGGATATGGTTTTGCTTCTGGTTCATTTGGGAGACCAGGCTGGAATCGGCATCGGGCTTTGCAACGACGCCTTATTTGTACAAATCGGTTCCATTCAGCGAAAGTGCAACTCTACTCCGCCTCTTGACAGTGAAAGTTTGAATTTGGAGCTTTTTACCACTGCACTGAACTTAACTTTGACGTTTTGATATATCCGGCTGGTACTGATGACTGGATGACAGATCAGGTTGTATTTAAAGATATCAATGTCATACAGTGGCGGTACGGCGTGCTTACCTCGCCAATTGATCTTAGGAGGTAGATCTGTTTGAGTTAGAGGTGAATGGACTTGATTTTAGTTATCAGCAGGCTGTGTTTGACCTAAATCCTCGTTTTAAGCGGAATCGGTGCTCAACGCTGAATTCGAATAAAAATGCGTCGCTGACTTAACGGACGTGGCATTTGGACCGTTAGTCTAGCTAGACATGAGATTGAGAATCGAAGAAGTTAAGAATAGCGCCGTTAACGAAAATGTGAATGGAGGCAAAAAATCTGAAATCCCGGGCAAATATACAAGTACATCGCGAGAAAGGACAACGACACGATCGATCGATCGATCCATGGCATCTGATGTTTGCCTCAAAAACTTCAAATGTTTCAAATGTTTTCAAATGTTTCAAATGCTTCAAATATTTCCTACAAAGAAAAAGCTCTGCATCTGAAGACATTGCGACAAGCATCAGATATGATGAGATGAGCTAAGCTGTAACTCTTTGCCTACGTTGACTTGCAAAACACTGCTGCAGACACAAAGATTCACTGGTTAGTGAATACGTTATTTGGCTAGCACTATTTGGCTATATAGTCGACAGGCTTTTTCACTTTCATTCGTGCAATATTTGTTAAACATAAAAAATATGCTATGGTGGCAAGGACAGCCCACCATTCTGCACGTGCATTGCACTGCGTCACTGGGAAGACGTCATCTTCCTCTGGACCGCCCAAGACCTTAGTGACGCTAATTAATTTTATTTCAGGAACGGCGTCAGCGGCTGCGGACTTTTCGTGACTGTTTGCTTCGTACTTGACCACCTGAGCGAAGAGCAAGAGGTGGATGTTGTGATGGCCGTTTCTGCCGTCCGAAAGAGCCGGCCCCAGTTCATAACTGACCTGGTATGCATGCTAAATGCTACGGCTGGTTTGCCGGCTTCTAGGCCAAAGCCACGTGTTATGCTAATGACATGTACCAAAACACTGGATTGCAACATGATGATAGGTATTAAAAAATGTGATGTGTGACATGTTTGAATTCGTGGGCAACAGTGCCCACGCAAAAGAATCGAAGTCGTTAAAGGAATCATAGTCCGGTGGGTGCGGACGGACGGTACTGATACGGAGTGAAGCTATGAGTGTGAATGGATGGACGTCACCGGGGCTGCAGTATGTGTACGGGTGAAACTACTTACACCAACAACTAAGGATTTGATTGGAGTCAGTTTAAAGTAGACCCTTGTTAATAACAGTACAAAATCAAGTCATATGATCTAAATATAAATATAGATAGCCTCCGCAAAATATAGATCATCTCCGCAAACAATTAACTCTGACAATTGCTTTCGGAGAGGGCTTAGTGGTCGAAGTCTTTGCTAAGCGCACTATGCTGCAAACATCTTGTCTCCACTATCCCGGCGTGACGATCCCGGCTTCACGAACATCAAACATCCACTATCCCGGCGTGACGATCCCGGCTTCACGAACATCAAACATCCACTATCCCGGCGTGACGATCCCGGCTTCACGAACATCAAACATCCACTATCCCGGCGTGACGATCCCGGCTTCACGAACATCAAACATCCACTATCCCGGCGTGACGATCCCGGCTTCACGAACATCAAACATCCGCTATCCCGACGTGACGATCCCGGCTTCACGAACATCAAACATCCGCTATCCCGGCGTGACGATCCCGGCATCACGAACAGTGTTTGCAGACAGGTACAAGTGCACCACGTATTGTGACGATACGCTCGCCCTCGCCTAGTGGTGGCTTCCGCGGTCAGCCGTCAGCAAATTTGCACAGACGAGTCACAGAACGATAGTCGTTGAGGCGCGAACCACGTCCCCATGAATTGTTTGGAGTGCCCTGCGCTGTACAGCCACTGGGCTGCAGGAAAATATGTAACATCTCCTTTTGTGTTGCAGCACCAATTCGAGCTTTGCCACGACGTGGCGCTGCAGTGGCTCGAGGCGTTCGCGACGTATGCCAACTTCAAGTGATGCCAGCCGGCAAGATTACCAAACGGGCACTGGCGTTCCCACCAGTGATGTTGGACTCTTCCAAAGTGCAAGGAGCGGAGAGAACGCGCTCTCGCGTAGCTTGCGCCACCACAGCAGTCGTACCAGAAGGCCGTGCTGTGGTGTTATGTGATATCAGACCAGTCTTTGCCGCCAAGTTTTGAGTGTAGGGGGCATGATTGGCCGACCAGGAGGTGGAGGCGCTTCAGCATATGCATAGGACCATTTCATAGTTGGGCCTTCTGGAACAATCCGGCTCCCGCGAGCTTTTCTGTTGCAACTTTACTCGAGCAGGATGTGCGACGTCTAATGTGCGGATGTGCGGATGTGCGGGTGCACATTTCCAGATGGTATCTTAAGGTGGCATTCTGTTACGTCATGCTTGCGCCGCCCACTGAGCTCATGCACGCTCAGAAGTCGTGAAGTGACTGTAAAGTCGCATGTATATATTACGCGTGCTAAGGGGCTTGAACGATGCCGTGGAATTTGCCGACATTCTGTTTGAGTGTTCCCTAGTTTGAGTGACCAAATATTTTGGTGTTCGTCCTGTTTAGCCCCGCTTCGACTGTCCGCTAACCAAGTCACGAGCTCGTTCCGCGATTGACGCAAGGAGTGATCACTGTTCGATCGGACAGTCTCATGCGTGTGGATCAGTAATACCGTAGGCCAAAGCGCATGCGCGCGCCCCAGAGTAATTTTGCTCTTCGATGAACGCCGGTTGTGGCTCCAATCCGCGTGCTCAGCATATCTTAGAAGAGCTTTTGTGTGACACTGTTGGCGTTGTCGTCTAGGAAGCCTGCTTATGAGAATAGATAATACAAATATTACTAAAAATCACTCAAGAGCTATATTTTTGTGCCGCCTCCCCACATCGAACAACGCACTTCGCTGGCCAAATACTTGTGCATACCGCAGAATTCACATAACCTTGGGTACAGGTGAAACTAATGGTGCCATGGGCCCAAGGCCGAGTGGCAGCATGGGCCACTTAGGAATCGCGTGATTCCGTGGTCCGCAGCCGCGCACGATCCGCGACGTGACCTGCCGGTGCGTACACAGATTTGGAATCGTGGTCTTCCGGGTGCTAGAGGCAGTGAGCGAGAACGGTGCCCGACTTACGCTGGTCCGTGGCGAGATGTGCGTACGTACGGGGACTCAAGTTGACGGGAGCACGGGAGTAGCTTGAAGATGCACCGGTGGCTGGATGGTCAGTTTCGACCGTCTCTAGGCGGTAAAGGGCCGTACGTCGCGCGTGACGCGTGGCCAAAAATTGACAAACCTTCGCCATCGCTGCTATCCCAACACTGACAGGATGATGACACTGCCAACGGCCTCGCAGCATTATCTTACAGATGAGCAATCGCTTTGGAAGATCAAATATATCATGCCAAATCGGAGCTGTGGTTACGCCATCGCATAGCTTTGAAGGATGATAACAAGCTCAAAATGTCTGGTGAAATCTTATATCCCGCATTTCAAGTGGTCGCGGGTTATAACTGCCATTTATGCAAATCGGGTTTTCAAGAGGATTGCATACGGAAAGGCGGCTTGGGAAATCAAGCGTAAACTGCGAAGAATACCAAAAGAGCATGATTTGTGTTGGGGAGTTCACGTGCTATTTCATGTGAGGCTCAAGGAAGACCTGCGTGACGCAAACAACTAGATGCGAAAGGTTTATTTCGGTGACCTTTTTAAGCATTGCACAGGCCGCAACCCACGCACCTAACGACCCCATAGAACTCAAAACCATTTACAGAGGACACTACCATTCCGGTACGCAAACCAATAAGACCACTTTGATTAGAAGTCGGCGACCAGATTAAACGTGCAAGACCCGTCATCGTGAATTGTGCAAGTGTGGTTAGTGACATGTTGCATGACATGTGTCAACTTAACTTTGTCTTTGCATGAACACGAATTCTTACTGCTTTTGTCATTAGCTAGATAAAATGCATCGTTAAGGCGTCATATAAAATGGTGGCTCAATACGCATACTGGACTATCACCACAGCGTCACACGCTCGCAAAATTGCACTGGAATAATGAAAAGGCCCGGACATTGTCATAATTAAATCAGCGGTGTCGTTATTCCAGAGGCTCAGTGTCATTGTTCCGCTGTCCCGCATCAGAAATGACCTTGATGAGCTACCCACTAAGACCACTGAATGGAGTGATATAAGGTCGTGCTCATGCATCTTAGGCTGCTGTCAACTGTTTCAGAACGGCACACCCGTACCACCCACTCCGACTTTTTGAGAGTAAGCGTCGGGAATCCGGCGACCCCACATCCTTATGTCACCGTCTGTGAATGAAAAATCGCGGTGGGCTGACGAATCCCCCCCCCCCCCCGCAGGACCAGTCAAGAAGTGGTCCGGAGTGCTGAGGAGGAGCTCCGCCGCTGCATCGTACAGCTGGACGCGGCGTATCGAACAGTGCACTGACGGATGCTAGAGAGTGCGGCGGCGTGCCATATCCGTACCGATGACCCGACCATCACCCCCTGGAAACTCAACGTGGTTTGGAAAACCACCGCACCGCGCTGATCACGATACTGATGACCACCAACCCACGGGTGTCTTCATGATCAGGCGAAGCTGCAAAACGCACGCCTGCAGATAGACAGGATTCGCAAAAAAATCACTACAGCAGTGCTGTTTTGAGGATATGAGGCCAGCTATCGTCGCCGATATTCTCAATTAATTTGTCCGGTGTCGTATCTAGCAGTTTCCTAAAACAATAAACAAGACTCTCCGATCGTGGGGTTCGTCTGGCCGATTCCCCACTCTTTGCTTAGGCTTCTGTTTTACAATATCTGGGCTTTCGTGGAAAGGAACGTCTGTTTTCATGTGCGATGTTTTTAATTTGGTGTACAACGTTTGGTCTATGTTATGTACCAGTTAGGACTACCTGTTGGGGAACGATAGATCTGCTGCATCCACATTACCGGGTGATTATGAATATGTTAAATTAAGGAGCGTTGTGGCATTATGAAATATATAAAATCCGGGGCCCATGGTATAGTCACGTGACCAATTTTTGCGTTAGACTACCAGGCACGCCATCGTTAGAAAGTTGAAATGTGACACTGTATATCGGACGTATTATTTCTGTCAGTGTTGATATAACTATTATTGTCCAAGTGACCAGATGGTCGCTAGTGTTTATAAACACATTCCATCCATTAGAAACTGGCCAACGAGCCCATGACCTGACCGGGTGCCTGATCGCGCGCCCAATATGTATGAGCGTGTCAGGTACTTTCTTCATATCTCTGTGAAGGCCGTTGAGCTGGCGAAGGCAGCGGAGGGCGACATTTCGCGCCCGCACGATGCAGATTCGGCAGCGACTTGCACGCCGGCGCCTTATCTGCGGCTGCCGACGAGCGGACACCGGCAGCATCTCCGCGGCATCGGGTTTGGCGACGTCCACCCCACCGTATCAGTATCAGAGTACCAGAGCATCACAGCATCAGATATCACGCCTCTGAACGCCCACTACGGAGTCCGGCACAACGGCGGGTGAACCCTACGACACTTGTCCCACGGACGCCATGTAGAGCGGCGGTCTCGCCGGTGCTCGGCGGGAGCGCAGACAGCGGCGGTGGAGGTCGGCGTCGGGGACTCTCCATGCGGGTAACTCATTCAACAGTGAAATACAACAAATAGATGTTGGAGGACCGTTGGGAGATTATGTTATTGACACAATATCTCGCTAAGCCCTTTAAAGTCGGCTCTAGCTTTAATTTTCGTCTCCACGATCTTGCACAGGGCCACCACCCCGTGTCTTGCAATAGCTCTGTCAGAGCGAGGCTATGTCTCTTGGCTGTGCCAACATGGCGGCAGCTTTATGTGCCAGCAAGCGGACTACTCCATCTAGTTGTCCTTTCTGGTCCTGTATATCCATGCTTGTGGCACTTTTGCGCACCCCCGCCAAAGCGCGTTAGCGGTACAACCGCTCCACGACGTACCTTTCGTAGTAGTCGATAGGGTTCGCTTGTTTAAGATCTGGTTTTCACAGGGCTGTGAACCGAATTCTATCAGACCACTTCCGATGACCCCGGTATCGAACGAAGTATTGTTTGCTGTCTTGAGCCGATCACTTGGCCTTGTTTTGGCTAGATAAGCCAAACTCTCATGGCACACCAGGACAAAGTTTTGCGCATGGTACACAGTGAGTTTTTCAATATTCCCAGTCGTCTCAGTAGCTCAACCGGCCAAGCGCCGGATCCGCAGTCCTATGTTCGTGTGCTCCGAGGTTCAGGTTAGTTCAAGGGCTCTTCCAGTTCCCTGCGAAATGTGCTAAATTGTTTCCTGTTAACCGGCGCATACTGCGTTATGTACCAGTGTTATGACGCGTTTCACTCCTTAACAGGTTCTCGCAAAACATGCATTTTCTTGCAAAGCATTCATTCAAAATTTAAATATTCATTACTGTAGCACCTACGCCACGCTCTCTTCAGTTATCGGTTGCCAAATATTTAGAAAAAAAGAAAATTAGCCTACTACATTGCGCATCTAGCTTTTTCTAGTTTCAATTTTTGTGTACTCTTTTCTTTACTTGTTTTTGCTTTGTGCTCTTTTTTTGCTTTGTTGGGTCGTGTTTTTTACTCATATTTGCAGTTTCGGGTTGCGGAGCTTCTCTTGTCATTGAATGTCATGCTCATGTCCACCATATTTAGCAGTTACCCGAATGTCTGTGCTCGTTATGGCAAAACATGGTTGGTGATTGACGATTTGCATCCTATTATCCTCATCCTTTTCCTATCCCGCATCCTCGCCAAGCCCCATTTGACCAGAGCACGCTACACGCACCAGCCATGAGAAGGCTTAGGTGACGTTTTGTATCCTATTATCCTCATCCTTGTCCTATCCTGCATCCTCGCAAAGCTCCATTCGACCAGAGCAAGTTACACACACCAGCCATGAGTAGGCTTAGGTGCCTCATGGCGGGGGCCATGTCCGAGCGCCCAGCACACACCCCTCACAGGGATCTCCGCACGGGCTTATGCCCGGCGGATGGACCCCCCGGTGCGTGTAGGTCTGCCTAACGCTGACCAGTCTCCCTCATCCCATAGTCCTGAAACGGTCATCACCAGCCGAGGCGGCTCTGACAGAACGTAAACCGTAATCGAGACATGCAATTAAAAGCGTGCTCTGTCAACCAATTGCCCGCTACCGGGCTACTTGGTGCTGCAGCACCGCAAGCATGAATAATGATATTTGTCCTTGATCAGGAACACAATACAGCCAATGGGATGGCGTGTTCGCGTGACGTCTCTGCCTTATTCGCGTGAAAACTTGTTGGCGTTACGTCTCTACAAGTTGTTGGCGTGACGTCTCTGACTTGTTGGTGTGACGTCTTTATGACTTGTTGGCGTGACGTCTCTTTGACTTGTTTGCGAAGCGTTTGTATGACTTGTGCGCGTGACTATGACTTGTAGTTCTGTTCTAAGCATCACACAAATGTGGAACACTCCCTTTGAGGCATGAGCCTTAAGCTATTCTATTATCAGTCTCATGTCTTTTACGTCTAGAAGTTGCCCAATTACCTGTGTTAATTATAACAAAACACGGTTTACGATTGAGACATGCAATCAGCAAAGCAATCTGACTGTTGACCAGTTGCATTCTGTCGTGTCACACCGCAGCATCACCGCCAACATGAATGTTTACTTTCTGTCGTGTCACACCGCAGCATCACCGCCAACATGAATGCTTACTTTCTGTCGTGTCACACCGCAGCATCACCGCCAACATGAATGTTTACTTGACCATACGTTTTCCCCCAGCACACTGTAGCCAGTAAGATGAGGTACATAAAAGCATGGC